AACAATGATATAGAGGCACTTAACCCTAACTGTAAGCCTAAATTTAACATAAACTGTAATCTTATCCCTTAAATCTGATTGGCTGATTGGAATGTTGTTCCAGGATCAACATAGATGTTGATCCAGGAACATGTCCTACTTGCTAAAATCACACTAACCATCTTTTGGCTGTAGGAGGAAACCCAGTGAATACAGGGAGAACACAGAAAGGCTTCTTTGTGGCATTCGTCTGATTCATCATCTAAACAGCTTTGCCCAGGACAGTTTTGTGAAAAGAACTGGACCAAAGTTTACTTTACTAATGAAAGCAAGTTTATTCTATCTGGGTCCGATAGGAAACATAATTCTTGTCATCTAAAGTGTGGAAGAGACTCGTAAAAGATCACACCAGAGCAGTGTTTAAGACTAGTCATTCAAGTCAATGAAGTCATTCAAGTCAATTGTTCTCTATTATTGACCTCCACAGTATATGTTTGTCAAATATATGCTATAAAAATAGTCCCTGACAGTGACAGTAAGCAGCAGTGTGTAATACGACTCTGCTAGAGCTCAAATAAAAACGTAGACTTGAACAGTTCTCATGTTCTGTGTCATTTATTTATTTTTAACACAACATATGGTATTTCCTCACAAACATACGTCTGCTTTTCTCTCAGCAGAGTGCTGTTATAGTTTAAACCAGACCCGGGTCATGGCACAGTGTGAGTTCATCTATAAGACATTTTGTTAAACATGCAGTACTGCACTGTACCTGAAACCAAAAACTTTGAATGTCCTCTGAAGTGCCTTGAAACACTTAACCCCATCTAATGTGTTGATGTAATATCAACTGATACAGGAAGATGGGGGCCATGTTGAGCAGCTCCTCCTTATTATTATTTTTTAATAGGCAGTAGAGTTTTGTTTGTATTAAAGCCCAGCCAGGGCAGTTTAGTTCAGCCACATCTAACTGCTTATCACAGCCACAGTCTAACAGTATAGTGCTGAGTTTGTCTATGAATTGTGTAAAATTCAAATGGGTTTGATATGCTTTGTGGGAACAAGTGACCATAATCAGCTACAGCTTTAATGGAACGTTCCACTTTTTTGTAAATACACTAATTTTACAAGTTTTCTACAGTTGTATCTTCTTTAATCCATTTAACCAATTTCCGGATCTGACAGGAGCACTTTTAGCTGAGCTTAGTATAAATCATTGAAGCAGAATAAACCTTTAGCTTCTCATTCAACAATTTAATTCATTTTTTTGGGCTTAGTCCCTTTATTCATTGGGGGTCACCAGAGTGGAATGAATCGCCAACTTATCCTGCATATGTTTTAAACAGCGGATGCCCTTCAAGCTGCAACCCAATACTAGGAAATACCCACATACTCATATACTATGACCAATTTAGTCTATACAATTCACCTATACCACATGTCTTTGGACTGTAGGAAACCAGAGCACCTGGAGGAAACCCATGTGAACACAAGGAGAGCTTACAAACTCCACACAGAAATGCCAACTGGCCCATCCGGGACTTGAACCAGCAACCTTCTCACTGTGAGGAGACAGTGCTAGCCATTGAGCAACCGTGTTAACCGTGATGTCAGTTGGAATATCTGATAAGAACCTGTAAAGTGCAGAGTGATGCCATCAAAACACTGATTCATATTGGTGAAAGTGAAAGACTGCAAATTTTGAAATCACATACTGTATCTTCTAAAGGCAACTTTTATCTCCGTTTTGGAACACACTAGCTAACCTTAAAATCCATGTGAAAATAAAAACATACCACACATTGTTATTCATTTGGTGAACAATTAATGTGAAAGTTAATCCACTGAAAAGAAATGTCCATTTGCTAGTGCATTTGGTGTGGAAGTTTTTCTCTGCTGACATTAGTTTGACTAGTCACAATATTTTTACCATACCCCTTGTACGGTTAGTTTGCTATGAGGCAGTGATTAGCAAAAATATAGCCCCGCCCCTCATGACTATTTTGTTTCAGATGGAAGTACATCCCTACTGAAATAAAAGCCTCAGCAATATTTTTGATTCAAGCTGACTTTAACAGTAACATATTATACAGTCAACAGTACGAGTGCCATCCCTCATCCCTGCCATTCACCTGGGCTGGGTCCGAAACCGCCTACTACTCAGTAGGTACTGCATTAGAATCTAAACGTACTACTCAGCCGTTAGAAAAGTAAGTTCTATACAGTATGAATGTGAAAAGTATGAATGGAATTCAGACGTACTACATTCGCCATTTTGTCATAGTCACATGATCTACCTGTCAATTGTGTCGCTTCACTCCCATTTATAAATTCACTCGCAGGGCAGCAAGCATGGGATGCGCACTCCAGAATCTCACAGGAATTAGTAAGTCATCCGGGTACTTCTCGCATTCTTATTTTCGATTCTATGAATTCGGACATACTACTCGACTTGCATACTAATTTTAGCGTACTATATAGTATGGAAGTATGTGGTTTCGGACGCAGCCCTGGACTACACCTCCCACTATGCATTACACCAGTAACCCAGCTACAGCTGTGACCCATCTGACTCTGATTAAACTACACCTGCGGGAATGTATGACACGCATATAAGCACCACATTCACACACATTCAGTGCTTAGTATCGTTTTTCAGTTGTGGATATTGCCCTGCCTGTTTTGTTCCTTGTTTTATGTTTGTTTTCTTCCTGCCCTGACCTTCACTTCTTTATTGGACTATTCTGAGTGAGTGAGTGCTTTTTCTTTGTTGTTTACATTTAAATACAAATGTTCTTAATATTTAGAAAATCCCATAACCCATTTATAGCTATTACACCAAAAATACCTTTTCATGGGAAAAATGGTAGCAGTGTTCATTATTATTTTAAAACAAAATACTACGACAGTGTTTCTGATATTACATGTCAGTACTTTTACATCTTGTATTTCACTAGGTTATAAATGTGTAATCTTACTGAACTATCAAAACGTGTTTATAAAATGTACTGATTACTAGGACTGTACGATATTGGAAAAATCTGACATTGCAATATTTACTTTTTCTGCAATATATATTGCAATATACTTTGTTATACTTGGATGGAATTTTTCGTCACAATTTTATTTTAAGTTTCAGTTCTCACTCTTAGCAAACTGTTTTGACTTTTGCTTAAATAAACTCCTAATTTGCTCCTTTTTAACAGTTATTAATGTAGTTTAGGTATTGGGTAGGATTACGGATGTAGAATAAGATCATACAGAACAGTGCTTTAAAAGTAATAATAATAGTACTGCCAAGATTAATAGTGATAATTGGTCCCTAAAGTGTTACTAAATGTATTAATTTTGATTGACTGGGATGATTTAAATCTGAAAACTGGATTGACACATTTTCAGGTTACCTAAACTTCTAAGCTGCTTTGACACAATCTACATTGTAAAAGCGCTATATAAATAAACACGAGTTAAATTGAATATTGGGTTACGTTTTACATTGTTGTTTGTCATTCTATATATCATTCTTTCATTAAAGCTGCTTTGGAAATGTCACCTTTAATTCATAACAAGTATACTAATCCAAGAAAAAACTATATTTTTATTTCAAAGATGATTTAAAGGTAAATGAAGCCAACTGTCATAGTCATGATGGTGTCACTTGTATATTAATAAGTGAATATTTAACTATTTGCAACACATTTTGCTGAAAAGCATGATGTATACTGTACCACAGAGACACACTGGCGCAGTAATACCGATTTAATGAGGCCATGGGTATATATGTGGAATGATTTACAGCAGCTGGCTTAACTAATTTGTGCTAGTGTGTAGGATATAAATCCATTTTAATGTTTGTACATTTTGTTCTATTGGCACAATCATTGGGCATATTCGAGAACCATTCAAAATCATTTTGTTTCCCTCAAGGTTATATTTGCCTTGTTGAACTTGTTCAGCACTTTTATTTCACATTTGACAGTTCAATATTGAATAAAAAAAAACAAAAAAAAACAATGAATGTGTTTATCTCAGAGTCTGGAATGATGCAAAATCACAAGATGATGTTGAAGAATGGGAAAATAGCAACATGTTATTTTTTTTTTATAATTCAAAATGACTCCTGGCTACTGGCTCATTGAGAAATATGGGTAAATAACAGGGTGAAGTGGAGTTCGGCTGTCACATTTAAGTTATATGTTAGAATGACAAGTATAGTGAAACTCTGTTGTTTGTTATAATAAAAGCATAAAATATCAATCATTCTATTTTTGAAAGCCAATACAAATATTGGATATCAGTGGAGCAGATTAGGAAAGATACAAAGCCTCTCACAGACATTAATGACAAACAAATGCTTAAAACAATACTACCACTATCCACTCATTTATGTTTAATAGTTCTTTGTTCTCAGACAAAATCAAAGTATGATGCAGATGAGGCTAATCTTGCTGGTTCCAAAGCTAATTACCCCACGATGTGCTTGTCAAAATCAGTGATAACTGTGAAATAAATCAAACCAATGTGCATGGTTTATGAAAAGGAAAGTACAGCAGACCTACAACCCCCTGCTAAATCATTCACCTATCACCTCATGCTGTAAACATTATTGCTATCATGAGATAAGGTGATGTGTAATTATCTTTTATACCTCTTTTTGCATCTGGAAATACACAGCCTGTGTTCTTTTCTTTTTTTGTGTGCTAATAACATTCCATGAAGTTCTGTGAAAATCTAAATGTTTTAGTTTGTGTTGCAAATTCGCCATTGACAGATCAGCATTATCACACAAAGAGGAGCCTGTATTGAATCTGCAGTCTAATAAATCAATTAGATCGCCCTACTTATCATTATACAGTTTGTTATGGGCAATTCACAGTTTCTTCTGACAAGCCACGTGTCACCCCGTGGCACTTGTAACCTCTTTTGTGCGTCTCAGGTATGACTAGCATTATTGCTGTTGATGTTGTTACCTCCCTGTCCCCGCCCAGGCTCGCTCGTCGTTCCGCATGACCCGCGCGCAGGCTACAAGGTAGAAAACAAGGCTGGCCCTTTAAGACGGCAGTGATCGCTCCGCAGGCGACCGTTCGGCGTTATTATCGAGCTCCAAGACTATACAACACACATGAGATAGATGGACTTATAACAATGGAATATCACTGCGTTCTGTTTACTGTTTTGTTGCAGTTAATCATCCAACCAGGTAGGGCGGCTGTTATCTTTTTTTTGCTTTTTTTATGGTCTTACTTTGTTCCCCAAGCTTAAAGATAAACTAGAAGTTGTTCAGTGAGGAGTAGGGATGTGCACTTGCTGAGAAGAGAGCCTTGCTGAGTTACTACCGAAGCAAAACGGATTACTTTCTGAGAATAATGTATGGACCTGTTGCTTCTACTCATGATTCATTATTAAAGCAGTTTAATATTAATCTACACACTGTTCTGTCTTTCATTATAATTTAATTGTGTGTCAAGACGGGGCTTTCATGCTGGTCTGTCAGTCCAGAGCTCTCCCATTCTCTGAAAACTAAAATCTAAACAGCTTGTGAGAGTTTCCACTGATCATCCCTGTGAATCATATCCTCTTCACTTACCGTGCAGAGACTCTATATATCAGGAATTTAAGCAGTTACAGGAACCGCTCATTGAAACAAGATATTGATCCGGAGAGCGGCAGGTGAGAATGTAAAGTAAAGCCGATCCGCGCGCTGCTCTCAATTATTCATCACTCAGGCTCGAGCGCGCGCGCGTCTCCGCAACAAGTGGAGGAATATGAAGCCTGTTTCAGCTGGAGAGGGACGTGAAGGAAAGAGTTTAGACGCTAAAACAATTACACAAGTTTATTTTTTAGATAAAATGGCACGGTGAGCGATGAACGCATTGTCGCTTGAAAGCATTGGAAAGCTTTTGAACAAATGTTTTTTTACTAGGCGTTTAGTTATACATGCTGCTACAAATTACATTTTAAAAAGTCGACAAAAGTAGACATTTGCGAACAGAAATCGCGGTCATCTGAGGAGGTAGCCATAGCAACAGTGTCCAGCTTCAGCACTTTAGGTCCAGTAACATTAACTAAACACGTACTGTGTTTAAAACACTTTATTTTGTCAAGAATTAACATAAAGTTTGTTGTGCAATGCCTTTGAAGAACAATTTTGATTGTTCAAAATTAATTTAATTTAATGACATAACACTGAGTGGACATGTTTTAAAACGAAGAACGTTTAAAACATGTAAATAACTTGTTTTTTCCACTATAAAAACATTTTGTGGGAAATAAAGGTTTCATGGCTGTTAAACTTTCTAAGAACGTTGATATCAATAATGTTAAGGAATGGGCAGCATATATGACCAGAAATAAACACGAGTTTTAAAAGATATCTAAAGATAAAATTACACCTTAAGGTTAAAGTTTGTTGGAGTTTTCAAAAATGCCTTAATGTGTTTGCATTTTTGGTTAATTTTATTATTGTTCCTTTAGTCTGGACAAAGGTTGTATGTAAATGATCTGGAATTCCTTGTTTTATCCCAAAAGCCATTGAAGATGTTTTGCATGCTTCACCCTGACTTTTTTTTTTTTTTTTTTTTTTTTTTGCTTTGGCTCGCTGGCACCTCATGGACGTATCAGATGGTCTTTTGTACTGCTCAGATAAGCCCTTATGGATGTTCTAAAAGATGAGGGGCAAGTCTGGACTGCATCTGTTAACTGACCACTGCGTATCATGTGTTCAGACTTTTATCCCAGTGTAACTCGTGCTTTTAAACAAAGATACTTTTTGTCTTAGTTAGTTTTCAACTGCTGTTTTTCATGTGGTGAATTTACGTTTCAAGTAAGAATCTGTTGTGATGCTTTGCTTAAATTTCACGAACGCGCTTTTAGAGAGGCTTACCTGTAGAATCGTGGCAATCAGAGCCGTGGTATGAAGGACTTCATTCAATTCAAATGATCAGGTTTAGAGCGAGCGTGGACAATGCAGAACACATGCACACGCATTTAGTGTGGTTTTGGCATGAATCTGAAAATCAGCTTTGCAACGCCAGAGGGCTTCAGCGCTCAATTGACTACTTTGCATCGGGTTCTTTTAAACCGATAACGCTACGGGCTTTCGGATAACAGCCATGAGAAGTCGTTCACATGGAACAAATGTGCATAATTATTTAATGCCCTGATATAAACCGTTTGAGCATAATAATTATATTCATAACTAAGCCTTTTGGTGTTGCATGTATTAATTGGTTCTGCATGTAGGCTGGTGCCTCTAGTGACTAACGATGGTATCACAAGTCCCTATGAATAAATGAAAGATCTGTTTGCATCTGGGACTAAATGTTACTGATCTTGCAGGCTATCATATTTATCAAGCATCATTAGCTTATAGTGAACACTCAGCTCCTTTACATCACCTCTGTTCAGCAACTCATAATGCTGTCGTAATGGTGTAATTAAGATAAAAAAAAAACTCTCTGCATGGTTTAACCAATGAGGTGACAAGGTGATAATCTGCTTTACTAGTGTTACTCTCAGAGTTGTATTTCTCTCATTCTTATATGTCTATGTGGTGTTGGTGTTTGGAGCTTTGCGGAAGACAAGTAAACATGGAACGGTTGTGCTTAGGTTTTTCTCTGGAAGGACACCTGACTTTGCAGATGCTGTTTTCTTGGCACAGAGTGACAGTTTGCACTGAGGCAAGCAGCTAATCAGGCTAAACCACAGCTTCTATATTTTTATCATGTTATCTCATTTTAACTTGAGGCAACCATGGGGGCCGTAGCGTACCCCCTACCTCCTTTCTCACATTCTCAGAAATCAAGACTGAAATAAGCAGATGCAAAAAGTAATGTTTTATTGAACATTTATTGAAGATACTTCCATTCATACCATTCATACATACCTTTATTTTTAAGTTGCTTCTGCATCTAAACATTAACTTAGGAGTCATTAATATGATTATCTATCAATCTAAGCTAACTACAGAAAACAATCACGGCTTAATGCACAGAATTTATTAGCTATACCACAAACCATTCTTACACTTCGATACCATAATCTTTGATTTATACACACTACAGTGTATTGGGGTCATTTTGTTTGTTTGTTTGTTTGTTTGTTTTTTGTTTTTTTAATGATTCTGTTTATTAAGGTGGCATTTATTAAATGTAAAAAAATGTTAAATTGTTAAATATTAATTAAAAATTTAAATACATGCTTTCTTATTGTATGTAGTTTCAAGTGATTTTTTATTACTATCACAATTAATAATAATAATAATAATAATAATAATAATAATAATAATAATATTAGAGTTATTTTTAAAGGATCATGTGACTCTAAAGACTGGAGTAATGAAGCTGAAAATTCATCATTTAAATCACTGAAATCGATAATTAAATTATTTATATAAATATTTTATTTGTATAGGCGACGCAAGGTGGCACAATGGGTTGCGCTCTCGTCTCACAGCAAGAAGGTCGCAGGTTCGAGCCTCTGCTGAGTCAGTTGGCATTTCTGTGCATGTTCTCCCCATGTTTGTGTGGGTTTCATATATATATATAACTCATTTCTAATAACTGATTTATTGATTTTATCTTTTTCATGTTGACAGTAAATAATATTTTACTAAAAGGTTTTCAAGACACTTCTATGCAGCAACTAGGTTAGTTAGGTTCACTAGGCAGGTTAGTGTAATTAGGCAAGTTATTGTATAACACTAGTTTGTATTGTAGATTATTGAAAAAAATATATAGCTTAAAGGAGCGAACAATTTTGAATGTTAAAACTTAAAATGTTTTTTCAAAATAAAAACCGCTTTTATTCTAGCCGAAATAAAACAAATAAGACTTTCTCCAGAAGAAAAAAATATTATCAGGCATACTGTAAAAATTTAATTGCTCTGTTAAACAACATTTAGGAAATATTTAAAAAGGAAAAAAAAAATTCAAAGGGGGGCTAATAATTCTGATTTTAACTGTATATTAATTCATTCTCTTTTCGGTTTAGTTCCATTATTATTCTGGGGTCGCCACAGTGGAATGAACCGCCAACTTATCCAGCATATGTTTTACGCAGAAAATCTGCATAAACATCCATACACACTCATTCACACACATACACTACAGATAATTTAGCTTACCCAATTCTTCTTTACCACATGTCTTTGGACTAGTGAGGGAAACCGGAGGAAACCCACGGGAACACGGGGAGAACATGCAAACTCCTGGCAAAAATGCCAACTGACCGAGCCAAGACTCGAATCAGCGACCTTCTTGCAGTGAGGCGATTGTGCTACCCACTGCGCCACCGTGTCACCCTATTTTAAATAAAAGTAACTAAAATTGAAATATATATATATATATATATATATATATATATATATATATATATATATATATATATATATATATATATATATATATATATATATATATATATATACTTTTATCTAAAATTAGAAAGAAATGACTAACTTAACATTTTACATTTTACTTAACATATTTCCACATATTTAAAACATATTTTTCCACAAAAAAAATAGAGAAAGAGAGAGAGAAATTTATTTATTTATTTTTTATCAAGAGCTCCAGTGGTTTTAGAGTACTATCTTGAGTATTTTTCTTTAAAAAGTTGCTATAGCAACTGCGGAGAGTAAATATTTTCCCTCCAAAAAATAAGTCCTTTTTGCTTTATCGGTGTGTTTGTTAAGAAAAAAATATAATTTATATAAACAGCTGCAAATTTTATTTCCATGTTACAAAGAAATGCTTTTTTTTTTTTAGTTTGACTGTTTTCCTTTGTTTCTTTGCAGTTTTTAAAATGCATTTTCACCATGTTCTCAGTCTGTTGGAGAAGTGCAAGATGACTACACCTTTATTTGTTTAAAACTCTAAAGCTTAAATTAAAGGTTGCATCTGTATAATAAATTGCAGCAATGATTGGAGCGTTGTGTGTAAAAAGATGCTATACTTCAATCAAGAATCTAAGATAAGATGAGCGAAACTAGATGAGCAGCTGTTCAACTGTCTGAAATTGCCATTTCTAGAGAAATTTATTTGAGGAACACGGTATAGACATTTTGAATTGAAATTGTGAAACTGTCCAATACACACCCAAAACTGCCATTTATGCAAGGGCTTTGGTTTGTGTGTTGGTTTGTATGTCTGTGTGTGTAAAATATGTACGTACTTGTCTATCCTCTTGTATGTTCATCAAATGTTAAACATTCTCGTTTCCTCTCAGGCAGGTCGAGGCCTACCATTACCCCAGAAGGTCCCCGGCTAACAGTACCACTGTACAGCAACTTCAGTTTGCATTGCCAGAGTAACAGTACAGTGCGCTGGCAGCATGAAAACCGTCCCATGCGTACCCTGAAGGAGGAACAAAGACAGGGTCAACAGACAATTCTTAAAGTAAACAGAGCCGGCCCTCAACACTTGGGCAAATATTCGTGTAGAGAGGAGAAGACTGGTGAAAAGAGCTCAATCTATGTGTATGTGAAAGGTAAGTGCATCTTTTATAGAGCGTGTTTTAATTGGGTGTAATAAATTGTCTGGGCTGAGTGACATGTCTGTAGGGCAATATTTAAGGAATTCTGAACCCTCCTTTACTGTATGTAATTTAGCATCTGCCTTGTTTGTTATACCTGCATGATTGTTGCTACCACATTTTTATGTGTTCGCAAACCTGCATGCCACAGTTTGAATAGATACTAGTAGAGATACTGTACAGACCAGTGGCAAAGGCAAAAACTGAGTGAACAAACTCTCAAATTAAATAAATTAAAATTTAAATTCTAACAAATAAAGATGTCATTATTGGTTGTATTTATCACAACAGTTTGTAGAAAAAAACTCAGTGGTAGAGATCAAACAGTACCATACATGTAAACTCTATATATATTTGGACCAATCAAACTTTATTAAACAGTATTAGATCAGGTATATTTGAATCAGGCAGTCTTGATTTAAACAACCTCAATATAGGACATCTGGGATCCCTTTACAGCACTATAATGAAGATGATATACTGCAGTGTTTTCCACCATAATGTGAAAATGTTGAGATACTCAACCAATGGACCCTATTCACAAGACTGCTATGATGAGTTTAACAATCATCATAATCTTAAAGCCTTGAAGGTTTATATTTATATTTTTAAAAAAACGTATAAACATATCTATCCATTTATGAATGTATATCATCTTTGCGTCAAATTAGAAAAAACTAATTCCTGCTCGTTTGAGGTGTTTTTAATGCAGTGTCTATGGGGCTGAGAGTAATTTTGATGTTATTCTCTCTTCTCATTGCCGTCATCAGTCTGACATGTTTTTTTTCCCTTTTTCTGAAAGTCTGGATAACACCATGGTGGAGTTTTTCATTTATTATTTCAACAAATAGGACTGAATAAAATTTGTTGTACTCTCCCATTCACTGCACTCTTAAGTTTATTTAGCTATGACGCCTTCCGCTAGTGAGAAACCCGGAAATGTGATAAGGGTCTATTGGATCGGGGTGGAATGTTATAGTGGGAGGAATGATGAGATTGGATCAGATCAGCTTGTTTGACATTCTAGCTTTAGCATAACTGGAGGATGCAAATGAAAGGATTATTACTTCTTACAATTGCTATGCAGGGTTTTTATTTTCTTCCACAAAAATCAGTAAATAAATTGTGTTTCATTTGTTTGGATTGAGAAACTGTATTAGGAATTAGGTATGGTCATTTTGCAAGATACCAATAAAATAACCAATATTTCTTTTTATTTAGAAATCAAATCAGGTCTTGATATAAAACCTGGTTAGAAAACCAAGCAAACAGATACAATTCTCAAATTCAGTTTTTCTTACAAAATCATTCCATGTAATAGACACCGATTAAATCGCTTATGGCTCGCAAGACATGTCTTTAACACTGGAACCGCCATGGGGTCAATTTTACCCATAACTGTTATTCAAATGTACATAACAGACATTCAAGCCTCCCAGTCATTGACCTTTACTAAAATTGCCTTATTTACAATTCCCAGATATTAAAAATTGTTTGGATAAAAAAGATTAAAAAGTGGGACATTTATACCTATACGCACCAGCGTGGGTTAAATTTAACCACTATAGAAAAATGTTTGTATTTAGGCACTGCTTATGTTTAAAATTACTCACCAATGACTTTTACTTTCAGTTTTACTGAATTAATGGATATAATAAATGAATAAAGTCACAATGACTAAAAGAAGATGGTTTGTTGAGCTATTAAAAACAAAAAAATGCAACAAATGAGGCAGTCTAGAGAAATAAGTTATGCATCAGAGTATGATGGCTGCAATTTAGAAATTTTAACCTACTCATAACCTACTCTAAAAATAATTTTCATTCATTCATTTATTCATTCATTCATTCGTTCATTCATTCATTCATTCATTCATTCATTCATTCATTCATTCATTCATGCATTCATTCATTCATTCATTCGTTCATTCATTCATTCATTTTCTTTTTGGCCTAGTCCCTTTATTTATCTGGGGTCGCCACAGCAGAATGAATGGCCAACTTATCCAGCATGTTTTACGCAGAACTGATGCCCTTCCAGCTTCAACCCATCACTTGGAAATAAAATAATCATTTCCTGAGTCTAGACACTTTTTGTTAACAGCGGCGAAAAACTGGGAAATAGTATGTTTTTTTTTTTTTTTTAGCAATTTCTAAATATAATTTACCTACACTGGCGATTTTAGGAATACATTGACCTCCGGCGGTTCTAGTGTTAAGGCAGGGGTGCCCAAACTTTTTATTATGAAGAGCCAAAGGTAAATGTAGCTGCCATGGGCACTTCCTAATTTATTTAACAATATTTAAAAATAACTAGAAAGCACTGCTTTGTATTAACTAATGCAGTATTCAATTTTGTTTTTACATTTTTATCATGAATTTATTACAGTAAAAAAAAGATTTAATTTATAACAGATTGGATTTATGCTAGTCAACTGTTCCTGATTTTGCCTTTATTTGCTCGAAGATGTCTTCTACTGTACATTGTTCTCGATCTGTTGAGTGACAATATTTATATTTTTACAAAGTAAATTAACGTATTTACATTTAACATTTAAATGAAACATTCAATTTCAGTTGGCTTTTATTTTGTAGCTCAGCAATAAAACAAACAAACAAAAAATATAATTATCAACTAGAAATAAAAATCTCATTCGCCCTTGCCCATCATTTGTACTCCTTTCTCGGATATGATGGTGCGCCATATCAAACGTTAAAATGGGCCATTATTTGCCTGCGGGCCCTAATTTGGGCATCTCTATTTTAAGGGATAGTTCACTCAATAATGAAAATTTACCAATAATTTACCTACCTTCAAGTGGTTCAAAGTGTCTTTCTTTTGACAAACACAAAAGAAGATGTTTTAAAAAACAATTGACATCCATTGTAAGAAAAGCAAATACTATGAAAACCAATGATTACAGGTTTCCAACATGTTTCAAAATAACTTCTTTTGTGTTTAACAGAAGAAACTATCTCATAAACAGGTTTGAAACAAGTAAAGGGTGAGTAAATGATGACAGAATTGTAATTTTTGGGTGAAATATCCCTTTCAGTAAATCAAATGGCAGAAATAATATATGATTTATTGGTCAATGATTGTTCTTAACCATCCATTATTAATCATTTATTGGCTTATACCGATATAGCCAGCAATTAATTGTGCATTATTAGTCAATATAAGTGCCACTCTGAGCCTTATAAACAGTAGGCTCACCACTTGTATAGAAAATACAGTTGCTCCATTACATGTGTTTTTCATGTACTTGTTCTAACTGTTTATGTTCTTTATCTTTATATCTTCCTCCCTAACTCTCCCTTTCTTTCTCCTACGAACACATGCTCAAGCATCTCTCATCTTCCTATATCATTCCATATACACCCACAGATGCCTCAAATACCAACCTTCAGCCCTCTTTGTTTACTTGTTACCTGCATGACCTGCATGTCATTCTGTGCCATGTGATTTTTCAAGCATGTTCTTATAATCCAACTTAACGAACACTTAAACTCAGTCCTTGGCAGATTTGTTTTTCCAAGTGTAAACACTGTTGGTGTGGGTTGCTTGTATTTGTTTGTTAGGTATGATGGAGGGTTGTTTTTCACTTTCTCTCTTTCTCTGAGCTGTAAAGTCTTGATCTAAGCCCCCTTGGTTGTGTTTCATTGGTTTTTGATTTAGCATTCCTCTCAGCAGATCCTGAAAATCCCTTCAGGAGGACCATCGTGTTCGACATTGTTGCGGCAGAAGGAGATACGACGGTGATCCCATGCTTGGCAACAGACCCAGATATGAAAAACTTGAACCTGCAGAAATGTGACGGACAGCCCCTTCCCAACAGTCTGCGATATTCAGCCAGTCTTGAGACAGGAGTGTCCGTGGAAAAAGTCAGGAAGGAATTTGAGGGATGTTACGTCTGCGTCGGAACTTTGGATGCCGCTACGGTTAAATCAGGAAGATATCAACTTACTGTTCGGCTTGGTGAGAGACAAAAATGGAGATATGCATGAATATTAGAGCTGTCAATTTAGTCTGAAGTGTAGTTAAGAAAGACAAATATATATATATATATATATATACAGTTGAAGTCAGAATTATTAGCCCCCATGTTTTTTTTTTTCACCAATTTCTGTTTAACGGAGAGAATATTTTTTCAGTACATTTCTAAACATTATATTTTTAATAACTTATTTCTAATAACTGATTTATTTTACTAGCCAAAATAAAACAAATAAGAGTAACTCCAGAAGGAAAAATATTATCAGACATATTGTAAATATAAAAAAATTGTAATGGTCAATAAATCTGACTTCAACTGTATATATATATATATATATATATATATATATATATATATATATATATATATATATATATATATATATATATATATACTTTTGATATTTAAAATAATGCTGCATAATAATAAAATACAGTAATTTAATTGCCAAGAAAGCCTTTAATTGATCAAGAGTGACAGGAAATATCTAAATCTGCCTAAGTTTAAAATAAATTTTCCCTTTAGCTTTTTGCTCAACCTTAAAAAACAGCATCACAGTTTCAAGAAGAATATATAGAAGCTCACTTGTTTTATGCATTGACTACAATAAATAGCAAATCAGGATTTTATCAATATTTCTGAAAAATCATGACAATGAAGATTAGTGTAATTATGATAAAAACTCAGCCATCACAGAAATTCAATAACATTTTTAAATGCATTTAAATAGAAATGGTCAATTGTATTAATATTTCACAATACTCCTGTTTTTAATGTATTTTTGATCAAATAAATGCAGCCTTGGTAAGCGTTCTTAAAAGAAAAAAGTAATTTTGTTCACAATTATACTTTTATTTTTGAGGACTATAACATTATTTATTTAATACAGACCATCTCATTGATTGCCAGCACTAATAAACATAACAAGAGTACACATACAGACACCAGACAAATGCATGTCCATGTAACCCCACTGTAGCTTGCTCTTCCTTTCCCACACGTTCCTGCTGCTTTGATACAATGCATCATAGCTCTTTGCTTTTAGTTCCAGACGCACCTCCTCCGATCACACTGGGTCAGCCTCAAAGAGTGTTGCTCACCCAGGGGGAAAAACTCTCCCTATCCTGCTCCACCTCAAATGTCAACAGCGACATCGCAGTCAAGTGGAAGGCTCCAAACGGAGTGGTAAGATCACCAACCAACCAGCTCTCACCTGTTTACCTGAGCACACTATGGCCACAACACACTCATATATAAACTGTACATACTGCAGGCTTTAGTAAACACCGCACCTGTCAAAGAAATCCACTGTTTTCCAAAGCATACTTATAGAAAGCATACAGAAGGTATGAGTGCACAAGGAAGTTTGTGTACCCATGATCAGTTGAGTGTTTGTACACTGAGGATGACAGTTTAAATTTTGTTTGTACTTAATATTTTGTCAAAATGAACGATGTGCAATTTGAAAGGCTCCTTTGAATTTTATATGATCAAGGTTTATAGATAGGGTAACACTTTATTTTGATGGTCCATTTGAGTATCAGTAGACTGTCTGCTTATAATCTGTTGATACTGCTCCTTCGACAGACATTTAACCGACTATAAGAAACTTTGCAAGTACATGTCAACTTACACTAGCCCTAAACTCAACCTAACAGTCTACTTAAAATTTTATGAGAATTAGTTTGCATGTAGATGCAATGTAACTTAAATTCAACAAACGGACTATCAAAATAAAGTGATCAAATATAGTTGTTCGCACACAGTTCAGCTAAAGTCTGTGTGAAATCAAAATGTACATTGTTATTCTTTGGGTGAATGTTTGTTAGTTAGTCCACTGAATAGAAATGGTTTTGGTCATTTTCAATCAAAGTCTCCCCAGGAGCTACTATGTTTTGAGTGAAGTATTTTTCTGTTGATGTCAGTATTCTTGACCACACCACTCTTACCATTAGTTTGCTATGAGGGAATAATGTGCAAAAAGAAATTCACACCTCCTACTTACTATTCAATTGAAAGTACATCAACAAACATTTAACTTTAAAGTGTAACCCTTCTGGTTCAACATCTTCCAAATCAAATAATAAAGGTTATCATGGCAATGAAGATGTATGGGCACTTTAATGAGGAAAACTGTAAACTTTGAGAACCACCACCAGACCACCCCTTGATATCAGAGGAGTGAGCCTTGTATAGCTTATTAGCTGGCCTCTGCTACACTGGGATATACACAAACAGATGTTTTACTAGTGTCTGGAACTTCAAGCCGTTGTGTTCGTGCCATGAGAGCATTCATGATTTTACTATTTATTTACACAATTATTTAAAGTATTAAACACTGTTATTTACAGGGGGTGGGAGGGTCCACCGGTGCCCTCAAAGTTCCCTAAGTCTATATGACTTTTTTCTTTCTGTCAATTTTAACTGGAGTTATTTAATTTGAAAAATATTGGCTCTTTTAAGCTCTGCAATAGCAACAGGCAGGTATTTTTCTTTAGCAGTCCAGAACAAGTCCCATAAAATACTTCCATTCGTAACGATTGGGGTGAGTAAACATCTCCTGTTGTGAACTGATGCATTCCTGTAAGAAAATATCCATATTCACTATTTACCCAGCACATTGAGATTTACTACTTTACCAAACCATATCACCAGTATTGTGTAACTTCTGCATACTGTTGTACATGTTTAAAAGATGAAAGACAAATGCAGTTCAATGTTCAACGGAGCATGCACTGCACATACTTCCTACAGCATGTCATCTGCCAGAAAGACCCCCTTGTAAAGCAGGTTTTATAATGGATGGATGCACTTTATTGGACTTTTGTAGAGTAGACTGTTAAAGACAAACACCCGCTTGCCGCCAGCTTGAAAGAGCCTGGAAATTCTTTAATATAACTCTTGAAGAAAGTCATATACACCCAAGATGCCTTGAGGGTGAGTAAATCATTGGATAATTTAAATTTCTGGTTAAACTTATGCTTTAACAACCACTGACAATCACATCTGTGAACTCCCGTACATTTTCAGGACTCGCAGCTGCATTTTTGGCAAACCTATGGTGTGAAAACACAAGCTATGTACATAAACAAATCTTCAGTCAGTCATTAAGACCACACTGGCATCTGAGACCGATCTTTGAAGGATGAATAACACGCTTTGTTTTACATAAAGATTTGGAAAAACAGCCACACCCACACATAGAGACAACCACAAGCACTTTACCCAATACACGGCCAATGCACATATTTTCCATAGTTGCCCAATCAGTTTATTGTCTGTTTTTTCTGTTGCATGTGCCAAGAACCCGTCAGTACACCAGAACTCACATCTTCTGACGGAGCCCATTACTCACGTGAGGACGGCCATCCTCAGCCTGAGCTCTGTGACCATGCAGGACGCCGGCAATTACAGCTGTGAGGCCATAAATGAGAAAGGGACCACTGCAAAGCCAGTCTGGGTCAACATCTATGGTAGATTTCATTTTATTCTTAGGGAATGCATGAATTGATTCAGTTTATATTTTAATCGCAATGAAATTTGCTTTGAAAATGTCTGTAAGACACATTAATACAATACACTGGTAATACAACAATGTTTTATGTGTTTGTGTCTCTAGAAAAAGGATTCATTAATATAACAAGTGTGGATAACAGTACTAGGAGAGTGCGGGCTGGTGAAAGTCTGTCTCTGCGAGTGGTAATGAACGCTTACCCAAAGCCGCATACTTTTTCCTGGAGCTACAGTGGTGTAAAACTTACCAATACTACTGATCATGTGATCACCAGCCGGACACATGGAAATAGGTAAAAATTTGGAATATTTTTAGTACTACAGACATTTATTGTTTTTCAAATGAAGCAATAGCTAAAGATGTATAGGTAACATATAGTTTGTTTGTTTTTTTGGCTAGTGTTAGAGGGTTTTTGTTTTCAATTAATTGGAAATATTGGCCAATATTGTTTTTTTTAACTGTGCTACTTATTTCTGCGGTTTTTATATTTCAATTAGCTTTTTTCATCATGTAATGCTCTCAATTACATTAATACTAAAAACATTTTAATGTAATTGCTTTTCTGCTTTTATGAAATAAATTAAAATATTGTGAGGACCACGTTTACATTTCACATTTAAAGTGATTAAAAAAGGACAGAATAAAGACAATGAATAAATTTGTGCAAAATGGTCCTAAAAAATACATACATCCTGACTTAAAGTCTTGTTGTCGATCCCAGTTGTAAGAGCAACAAATATTAACTTGACTTTTAGTTGATCATTTGGAAAAAGTGGAAGAAGGTAGATGTTTCTGCTGAAGACCTATTGGAATCTGCAAGGTCCAAGAGTTTTAAAGAAATCAGTCTTGTTTGGTGAAGGAGAAATCACTGTTTGGGCTTACATTCGGTATGGGGGTGTGCGAGAGATCTGCAAAGTGGATGGCAACATCAACAGCCTAAGGTATCAAGACAAAAGTGCTCTTTGCCATTCCAGATGACTTTATTAATAAGTTATTTGAGTCATTGCAGAGATGTACTGATTTAGTCCTTTAAGCTCATGGCAGTTATACACAATATTTATTCGTTTCCCACTGCACCATGACTTTATATTCTATTCTGTACATTATTTATGTTAAGTGACAAGACTTTTGTCTAAGCAAATTCAGACCTAATTAAATTATTAAAAATGAAGGCATGATCAAATCTAGAGGACTTTGCCTTTAATAATAGCCACTTTTCATGCCGAATGATTAACTAGAAGTCAAGTTTTCATTTGTTGTTCTTAAAACTTGGATAAGTGACAAGACTTTTGTCAGGTAGTGTATGTATGTATGTATATATATATATATATATATATATATATATATATATATATATATATATATATATATATATATATACATCTCTGCAATGACTCAAATAACTTATTAATAAAGTCATCTGGAATGGCAAAGAGCACTTTTGTCTTGATACCTTAGGCTGTTGATGTTGCCATCCACTTTGTATATATATATGAAAATGATTTCAATAAATTTGAACCTATAATAATTTTTTAACCATTAGAATAGAGTTCGTAAAAAAATCTAAATAAGCTGAAAGAAAATTTCCTTCTATATTTTTATCCAACAGTTACACCAGCGAGCTGAAGCTAGTGCGTCTCAAGGTGTCAGAAAGTGGCATTTACACCTTTTCATGCTTAAACCGAGACGCAACTATCCGTCAAACGTTCGAAGTCCATGTCATCAGTAAGTGAAAACTTTTAATACAAATGATAAATATTTGGATTTTCCACTTGCCAGAAAATTGCAAAGAACATACATGATCTATTGCTTTTGTGTGTATTCTAGTTCAGTAGTGATCAGTCATATTTCTTGAGCATTGTGCCTGATAAACGAACACAATTGTCTGTGTAAGACCCTGGCTTAAAGCCCACTAACAATAGTGGAGGCCATGTAAAGACAGATAAGAATGGATTGCCCTTGAAGACTGCAAACAAGACATTTGTCAAATTGTCCATTATATCCCTGAAACGGGTCTTACATTTCAAACAACAAAAATACTTTATATCTGGCATTTATTAATCCACATTTAATGTAACTGCTAACTAGACAGCTGTACAAACATCCATCCCGCTAACTAGGCTTGTAAATCTGACCCTGAACCGATCTTTGACTGTTAGGCAAACCGCAGATTGTGTCCTATGAAGGGCCGATTGATGGACAGGTGCGCTGTGTGGCCGAAGGTTATCCCACTCCTCAGATCAAGTGGTATTACTGTGACCTGCCTCATTCAAGGTATGTTTAATGCCAATTTCAAATACACCCACACACTCAGATACAATGGGCTCCCAAAGCTCCCTTGAGCAGGGTTAGCATATTAGCCTCTCTGAGGGCACATTGTGACGCAGCATGGATTAGCCGCTAACCGCTAACTTGATGTTTGATGATTGGACAACAAAGGCTTTAGCTTGTTATGGATGGGGATAAGCAATTTGACTCTGTCATGACTGTGACATCACCAAAGCGATTGGCTGCTGTCTGTCATGTGATGGGAACAAGCCGCTCCTGTACAAGGGCTGTTTGTTCTTGGATAGTTTCAGTGTTGACAGAACACCTTAGCAAAGACTTAGTGACAAGCTTATCCAATCAATTCCTCTTGATGATCAAATCCGATCGGGATAACGTGGCCTGCTTCAATTTGAGCATATAAACATGCAGTGCAATGTCTTTTGATCTCTTCTGTGTATTGCTCGCTGTATCTGTCGGGGGCTGTTGAGAAACTGTTGAGAGGTTTCCATCACAGACAAACGGTGTAATTATTAGTAATGAAGAGACAAGAGCAAGGAATGTAAACTAATTGAGATTATTTGCTCTTGCTTTTATCCAATGCTAACTCTGCTCAGAAGCATGCCCTGCTGAAAAATCCAGCTTAAACCAGCCAAGGCTGGTTGGCTGGTTTTAGCTGGTCGACCAGGCTGGTTTTAGAGGGGTTTTGGCCATTTCCAGGCTGGTTTCCAGCCATTTCCAGCCTAGTCTTAGCTGGTCAGGCTGGAAAATGACCAGCCAAATCCAGCTAAAACCAGCTTGACCAGCCTGGTTTAAGCTGGATATAGCTGGTTTTGGCTGGACTCCCAGCTTGGCTAGGCTGGTCAAGCTGGTTTTAGCTGGTCATCTCCCAGCCTGACCAGCTAAGACCAGGCTGGAAATGGCTGGAAACCATCCTGGAAGTGGCCAAAACCCCTCTAAAACCAGCCTGGTCGACCAGCTAAAACCAGCCAACCAGCCTTGGCTGGTTTAAGCTGGATTTTTCTGCTGGGCAGTCATAGTTAACACTGAGAGAGACAGCATAAAAAAAAAGAAACAAATAAATCATAGCCCTTGACGGTAGTGCATTCCAGTCTGATGTTTTAAATAAAAGAGCCCTCTAGGCCTGGCACTTTGCAGCTTGATTTTTTGCTTTCTTAAGGAAAGATCTATTTTTACACATATCTGTGAAAAATTCTAATAGCGCCTGAATGCAGTGAGAGATGTTTATCTCAAACCATAGAGCTTATAAAATTGATGTGCATTGATTTACTGATGTCTTGCATTGCTGATATGCAGTTCTGATATTCTGACTTCCATTGTAATTTATTTATTTTTATTCAAACTATGGAAGTCAATGGGGAAAAGCGCTTGCTTGGTCACCCAGTAGAACATGAAATGGAAACTGACTTCACACACTCCTGGTCTTATCATAAGCGGTTCATTGGAGCATCTTATTCCAAAGATATGAAAATGTGGACTTCATAATCTTTCATCAAATTCCCTTGCTGTTCCCTAGAAGTAATATGGATGGCTAAGTGCAAGCATTTTGCATGTTGATGCATGATTTTAATTGTAAATGCAAAAATAAATAAATAAATAAATAAAGCAGAATATAATAAGTACAATAAAATTATTTTATAAAAAATAGAAATTATGAAATAAAATTAACAAATTAAAACTAAAATTAATTAATAAGAATAATTAATAATCATAACAATAAAATAAAATTATATTTTATTTAAGACATTAATTACATTTAATTCTAAAAAACTACTGTAAAAGAATTACAGGTAAAATACTGTTTACATTTACAGCACCATTTATCTTGCTGTATATGTATTTACATAATTGTATGTATATCTTTACTGTAAAATATACAGTAATTTTCACCATGCAACTTTAAAATATAGTAACATACTGTATAACTGTGCTACAGTAAAATGCAATTCATTTTACAGTTTAATACTGTGTAATTTACAAATATCTACTGTTGTTTTCACATTTGTTTTTAAGCTGGTTGACCAGGACATGTTACTCATTTTTATTTAGTTTAACTTAAATTAAAAAATTTTTAAAAATTTAAATTAAACTATAAATAGGAAATATCAAATAAATGTTAATTTACAGTTGAAGTCAGACTTATTAAACCCCCTTTGAATTTTTCTTTTTTTTTAATGTTTCCCAAATTACATTTAACAGAGCAAGAAAATTTTCACAGTATTTCTGATAATATTTTTTCTTCTGGAGAAAGTGTTTTATTTCGGCTAGAATAAAAGCAGTTTTTATTTTTTTAATTATCATTTTAAGGTCAAAATTATTAGCTCCTTTAAGCTGTATTTTTTTTTATAATCTACAGTACAAACCATCATTATAAAATAACTTGCTTAATTACCCTATCCTGCCTAGTTAGACTAATTACCCTAGTTAAGCTTTTAAATGTCACTTTAAGCTGTATAAAGTATCTTGAAAATATTTAGTAAAATATTATTGACTGTCATCATGGCAAAGATAAAAGAAGTCAGTGATTAGAGATGAGTTATTAAAACTATTCTGTTTAGAAATGTCTTTAAAAAATCTTCTCTCCGTTAAACATAAATTAGGGAAAAAATAAATAAGGTTGCTAATAATTCAGGGGGTTTAATAATTCTGACTTCAACTGTATCTTTAAAACCATAACAGTTTCATTGAATACTAAAATAGCACAATATGCTAGATCATTTTCGCTGTATTTTTCTATACTGAGCATTTCTGGAGCACAGTTACTATATTCTCTTGGTCATTTTTGCTTTGAATGCCTCCTCAGGTGCTCTAATCTACTGAATGCCACTCAGGAGGAGGAGGATGTTGTCACCGTGACCATGACAAATCCTCCCTTTGGGAAAGGCGCAGTGGAGAGCCGTCTAAACATCACCAAGAACAATTACGCCACTCTTGAATGCGTGGCATCTGCCAATGGGGAAATCGTGTACACACTCTTCTCTATCAGCGGTGAGCAAACAACCTATCAAATATCTCTCAAACATGTTTTTATACACACACACACACACACACACACACACACAACACACCCTTTCAGACAATGACTGAAGACTCTGTTAGCAATTACGACGTCTTTTTCTCAGACGACTCCACCTACAAACCGCCTACAGTCTGCTCACTGACCTTCTGATCCATATTGCATGATCTGCAGGCTGTAATCAGAATTGTTAGTATGTCTTGGTGTTTATTAGCCTCTTTGTTGATCTTCTGCATAAAACACACACATGCCCTTTAAATCAACTTTGTACTGTGTCAGGATGGTCTGTACTGGCTGCGTTCATTTGTCACAGTTATGGTGGGTGTGTGTCTTTGCTTTGGTGTCCTGGTGGTAAATTATTCTGTTGATTTGTGTTGATTTGTTTGTTTTGGGGTTTGGTTTTTTTCCATCGTTGAGCCTGAGGGTGTGTCTCAATACACTCCCTAGGTCATTAGTTAGTATGTTTGCCAGTCAGCTATTTCTAGGGCTTCATTTTCACAGTTAAAATCTAACCTGCGCTCACATTATAGGCTGCAGAAAACGGTGAACATTAGCAGCTCCATAAATTCACTTGATAAAAGTATATATTTTTTAATTTTCAAATGCTGAAAACAAATATTGTGTGTGATTTATGCAATTTTGTTATTTATGTAATCGTTTAAAGGGGCTATATGTAAAATATTTGTGTGTTTACCACATTTTTATTGCTTAATATACATGTTTTTATAAAAACTTGAGAATTTTCCCACCTTCCTATTGGTTGACTTTGAAAGAATTAAGCTTTGTCAAAAGGATGTGATTTTTAGTCAATGTGTCATCCAAAGATAAGGGATTAAGCGATTAATCTAATTCATAGTCAGTCATTGTCATGATCAAATTTTTACAATATAGGTGATTACAAAAATTGTTACTTCTCCAGAATGTGTACGATCTATAGTTGCTAGGGATGTAACGGTATCAAAATTTCACGATACGGTAATACCTCGGTATGAATGGCACTGTACGGTATTTATTGAATCATTTAAAGGAAAAACAAATCTATTGAAGAGACTCAAAAAAAGTGCTAGAATGTTTAGGTTACCTCAACACTGAACATATCAATGACATACAAATTATCTATTTGTAAACTTTCAAACAGGAACTTAAAATATTCAATTTTAATAACAAAAAATATTAAACCATGAAAAAAAAAACACCACTCAAGCCATGACAAGCCATGAGTAAGATAGAGGTCTCTTGGTGGTACAAGTCAATGTCTCCATCAGTCTGAGCAGTGTGCTGTGTTCTGCTGTCCAATTGACTAAAAGAATCCCCATCATGTTAGTTGTATTCCCCGACTTGTATTTCAGCACAGTCTGGCAGTCCCCTTTTTTTGCATAACCTTTTTTTCTGTCACCTTTTCTTGTTTCTTTTTAGAGAGAAACTGAAATGCTTCCACACATCTGATTTAAAACCCGCTTTAGGTTCGACCATTTTTAGCTCTTTTTCTTTCCCGCTACTAGCAGCACCCTCCATTTCTGCATTACTGAATCTGTAGCGACAACAGACTGCAAAGGATGATGGCCACACCTGGGCTGATGAAAATTGTAGTTTCCGCTACCTCCCATTCGATCCATTCGCCTGAGCAAACTTTTCACCAAAAGACCTATGATTTTATTGAGTCACAACCATGGTAATATTGAAAGAAATTGCTATTGCGGTATGACGATATTTACAATATTGTTACATCCCAAATAGTTACTGTAGTATTTTTAATACTACTGTAATAAAATAATTATTGTTAGGTCTGAATTTTATAATTTACAGTTGTACACTACCTGACAAAAATCTTGTCCCCTGTCCAAGGTTTATGAACAACAAATAATAACTTCTATTTGATAATGTGGTATCAGAAGTGGCTAATATTAAAGGAAAAGGCCTCTAGATTACACTTATTTTACCAAAATAAAATATGATCATGCCTTGATTTTTAATTATTTAATTAGGACAGTAAGGTCTGACTTTGCTTAGACAAAAGTCTTGTCACTTAACAGAAATAATCTACAGAATATAAAGTCATGGTGCAGTGGAAAAAGAACAGATATTGTGTATGACTCCCATGAGCTTGGAGGACTGCATCCATACATCTCTGCAATGACTTAACTTATTAATGATGTCATAAGCAATGGCAAAGAAAGCGTTCTTGCAGGACTCCTAGAGTTATTCAAGATTCTTTGGTTTCATCTTCAATGCCTTCTCCTTCATCTTACCCCAGACATGCTCAATAATGTTCATATCTGGTGACTGAGCTGGCCAATCCTGGAGCACCTTGACCTTCTTTGCTTTCAGCAACTTTGATGTGGAGGCTGAATTATGACAAGGAGCGCTATCCTGCTGAAGAATTTGCCCTCTCCTGTGGTTAAAATGTAATGGGCAGCACAAATAACTTGATACCTCAAGCTGTTGATGTAGACATCCACTCTGCAGATCTCTTGCACGCCCCCATACTGAATGTAATCTCAAACCATGTAATTCTTTCACCAAACAAGACTGATTTCTGTGAGAATCTTGAGTCTGAGTATTTGTTATGATTGGGATGCAGTTCAACAGATGATTCAGTGGAAAAATCTACCTTCTGCCACTTTTCCAAATGATCAACTAGAAGCCAAGTTATTATTACTATTATTATTATTTTTGTTTTTACAACTAGGATCGACAAAAAGACTTTTATTAGGTAGTGTACAAGAAAGGCAGAATAAATAGTAAAGTATTTTTTTTATAATTTAGATCTCCGATAATGGTTATATTGCAGTCCTCATAGCAAAATATCAGCATATTAAATAAAATAATATTATAATGTTTAAATAAATAAAATTATATGTATCTAACATATATTTATATATGTATGTATGTATGTATGTATGTATGTATGTATGTATGTATGTATGTATGTATGTATGTATGTATGTATGTATGTATGTGTGTGTGTGTGTATATATATATATATATATATATATATATATATATATATATATATATATATATATATATATATATATATATATATACTGTATTATCATGTTAAATTGTTTTTTCTGCTGAACACAAATGATGCTATAAAATAATATATTGCTATATAATGCTATAAAAATAATAAACAATTATTTAAAATGTAATGCTCCCTTGTAATATTGCTGTTTTATTATGTATGAAATAAATGAAAAAACGAATATATGATATATAATAATAGCACTGCACACCTACACAAAGATGAAGCAACCTCAACCTCAAATGATCAGTTTTCCAGTGTCTAAAAACTCTTTTACCTCATAGAAAAGCATGAAGCAAAATAAAACCTTGACCCAGGTGCTTCTAGTTTCCCAGGAATACTCAAGCAACCAGCCAAGAGGAAACGTTCATCTCCTCACATTCACTCCAGCTGTGCTTTTTGAAAAAATCTGAACCAGCTGCCAACTCGCAGGTCGCCGCTCCTGCTCCAACTCAACCTGTGTAGGCAGACTCTCTTTTGAATAAGACCAGATAACAGCAGACTATTATATAAACAGAGGTGCTGAGTTTTATCCCTAATCTTGTTTCTTTTGTAAACCTAGCATTACCAACTGTTGGGGATTATCTCCAGAGTTTAGGGGGGTTTCGTTTGGGTTTGTTTTAAAAACACCAGGCTTTTCCACCTCAGTTATTGCTGTATTATTGCTAAAGACAGTGGTTAACCAAAGGTCATCCACATCCTTTTTGGATCGATTGCTACGTTTATTATTTCTACTACGTTTGTGTATGTGTAAAATCCTTGGCTACATTGTCTTCATTTAGCATTTTCCCTGTATTAATTATTAAAGTTACATTCATTGTACTTTAACAACCCAATTGTTAATATTATTAACATAATTAATATTAATTGATACAATTAAGGTAACACAATTTTGCACAAAATTATATAATTAACAATTTTATAATTGAATTTAACAAATTTAAAATAATTAAAATAGACATTGCAACTTATAATGGTTATCATTTAACTATTTTATCATCTAGTTTAGATTGTTTGCAACATTTATTTTGTGTGTGTGTGTGTGTGTGTGTGTGTGTGTGTGTGTGTGTGTGTGTGTGTGTGTGTGTGTACTGGTTTTGGTGGTTTACAAGGACACAGATTTGTATGATGACATGGGAATGACCCAGGTATTACATTGTTGAGGTTTATGAGACCATACCCTTTGTCCTTGCAATTCAAAATGCTTATATATCATACTCAACAGGTGTTTTTGACATTCGAAATGTGAGTAACTTGTATTCATTACATTGTGGGGACCAAATGTCCCCACATCATTTTTTGGTCCCAATGAGGAAAAGAGCTCATAAATCACACAGAATAAATTATGGTACCACTTTATTGTGAAGGTCCTTTTATTGAGCTTAAGTTACATTGCATCTACATGCCAGGTTAGAGTTAGTGTAAGATGACATGTACAGTTGAAGTCAGAATTATTAGCCTCCCTGGATTGTTAGCCAAGACCCCCCCCCCCCCCCCCCCCCCAGTTCATTTTTTCCCCAATTTCTGTTTAACTGAGAGAAAAATTTTACAACAGCTTTTATTCTATCCGAAATAAAACAAATAAGACTTTCTCCAGAAGAAAAAAATATTATGAGACAACATGAAAATGTCCATGGTCTGTTAAACATAATTTGGGAAATATTTAGAAAAGAAAAAAAAATTCTAAGGGGGGCTAATAATTCTGACTTCAACTGTACGTACTTGCAAAGTTTTTCTAAAGTCAGTTAAATGTCTGTAGAAGGAGCTTATTAACAGGTATTAAGCAGACAGTCTATTAATACTCAAATGAGAGGTAATTGGCATGTAGTTGAAATGTCATTTTTAGTCAACAAAATGTGCAATAGTGACCATCAATGGTGACCAGTCTTACCTAAATTATTTTGAAAATGGCAAATTCAGAAGGATTCCTCTGAGAGTTGGGTTTAAGCATAGAGTTGGAATAGGGGGTTAGAATATACAGTTTGAACAGTATAAAAACCATTGTCTATGGGAAGTCCAGATGAAGGCAGTTGTACAAGTGTGTGTGTTTGTCTACATTTAGCATTTTCCCTACTAAATTAGCCAGAAGTAAAAAAAAAAAAAAAATCTAGTTGACCTTTTGCTAGAGTTCATCTAGATTTGGACTGGAGGTTTTTAAGTGTTGTAGAGGATGAACTTTACAGTCGGGTTGCCCCAGGAAAGCCTGTTAGGTGATGTGGGAGCTTCTCAAGGTTTCGTCTCCAGCAGGAAAACCAGTGGGACAAAAAAGCCTCAGGCAGGAGCTATTCAACCTCGGCTAAGCGGGAGTCAGAAATGCCTGTTGTTCGGGAGAGAGCTGCTTTTGTGGGAGTGCTGGATGGATATGCTTGGATGCAGTGGGATGATGATAGATGGATGGATGGGCAAGGAAGAGAGAGAGAGAGAGAGAGAGAGAGACGGAGGGCTGTGAAAGCCAGTGGCAGGTTTACAAGGGATTACTTCCTGCAGAGTCTGCATTCTTTGATTTGAAATGGAGAGAAAGCTTCTTATAGCTTAAGAGCTTTACTACACTGCTCAGAACAACGCAGAAAAACAATAACACAACACGCATGAACACATACACACAGCAAAACACTGCTACAGTTTCAAAAGTGCAAAACAAATGAGTCGCGGTAAAGCGTTTTAGTGAGGATTATTCACACATCATTAAATACAAGAAATTATGACATAACTGTGAGGCATGTATTAAGTCATGTTGATGAGGTTTTACTGCTAATGAACTGTTTGTTGCATTTCCAGCAACACTGTGGTTTTGTCTCGATGTCAAAACCTTGTGCGATTTTTATTATTTCCATTGGGATTCTGGCTCAAGGGCTGAGACTAACATGAGATAGAGTGTGTTTTTCTGTGTTAACAGAATTGATCCTCAGGGATGAGCCGCGTGTATTGATTATCCGCTGATGCCTGAAACAGATTGTCTTCTTCACACGAATGCAGTGATTCCCAACAGAAACTAATCTCAGGGCTTAACAAGCTTAACATTTTTAAGTACTGTATAAAATAACCAAATTATGCTAATAAGTTTTTAAAATATTTGAATTGATTATTAAATAAATATTAATTTATGTAATGTCATGTATAGTAATGCTAAATCTATCTACAAATAATATTATTATTATTATTATCAAATAAAACAATTTAAATAAAATTAAATATTTAATACAATTACAATAAAATATGTTGTTAATATTAATTGTTTTTATTTATTTGTTTTTTGTAATTTATTTGCTCAAGTTTAACTAAGACTTTAACATTTTAAATTGTAATATATTTGCTGTAGTTTCTTTTTATTTTCTTATTTCAGTCAAATGTTGGTTAGTTTGAACTAGAGATCTGCGTGGGACTAAATTTTGAATCCTGATCCCGTCAGGTTTTAGTCCGGACCTGACCCATCCTGCTTATATTCAGCATTTGTTGTCCCGCTGCCCGACCCGCCCCATTTTCTACCCGCCGCGCCCGATCCTGCTAACGGGGAATGGTGGGGACAAAACCGAAAACCTCCCAGTGATACAGAGTCCAGATAGCCTATAACAAGCTGTCTGTATAAACACAAACACACACATAGACACACAGCACCAAGCAAGTGACACATAGACAGCACCAAGCTCTCTCTCCCTCATTTACGCACATACACACACACATAGACAGCAACAATCAAGCTGAACACAGCATCACGCTCTCTCATTCATACACATACTTACGCGTGCTTGCTCGCTCGGGAGTCAGGAGCGATTTTGTTAGACTGCCCGCTCCAGTTCAAATTACACCAAATTACCAACCGCTCCCCTGCTTTATTCGAAAAAAATTTCGGAATGCAGACCTCTAGTTTAAACCTTATTTTGTCATAGATTATTGCATTAATTAATCTTTTAAATACATTTTTATTCTAATGTTTTAAATTTATCTTAAAATATTAGATTTTTTAAATTAATTAATTAAATATTTTTATCGTTATTTTGTGTAAGTAATGTTCCCCTGGACCTCAGTTTGAAAATCCCTGCACCATACTATTTACGAGTATTACATAATATTATTATGCTTTGTTACAAATCGTTATTTATCCAAATTGTCTGTCATTTATCTTTTATGAGTCATTATTTAAAACATATCCTCATATCAAGATATCATCAATAATCAGCTAGAAAACTTACTATTCCTGCACCGCTATTAAAAGGGTCACATGTTGTGGAGTAGGGTTGATGGAGGAGTAGATGCACGTTTTCCATCTTGCTTGTTTCTGATGTCCGCTGTGTGTTGTTTTAATCTCCACAGAGAACACTGTTCCTCATGAACTCTTTACACCGCTGCTCATCGGTTTTGTAGCCGCAGCTGTTATCCTTGTTCTCATCCTGATCGTGCTGACCTACAAGTACATGCAGGTAAAATAGCATTCATTTCATAGTCTTTTGGCACAGGAAACACATGCTGACTCACTGAGGCACTTAAGTAATGAGATTAAATTGAATAGTTTTAATCCTCGCCATATTATAGCATTCAATACTGCAACATGTATTGTTGTTCTAGCGCAACCCATTTTGGGTTATTTGATATTGAACGTGATACTCGAATGCAGCGCAATTTACCTATCACACCTGGCTACACTCCCACACTTCAGGGGAATAGAAACAATACATGCTTAAGGAAATTATTTACTTAGTTTACTTAGTCAGGCCATAAGACCTGATGTTTATCTGCACAGTTTTGCACTGTTGCACAGAGGAACGACCACTGCAATTACTGTCCACACTTTTGTTTGAATAATTGATGTGTATTTACACTAAACTTTTATAGACTCCATAAACTGTAACTGAATCAAATGTAAAAGGTTGTCTCTACACATGTAAAGTGTTTAGACTGATCTTTGTGGATTTAAAAACTTAAAATGATATAAATAAAAAAAAAAAAAAAAAAAAAAAATATATATATATATATATATATATATATATATATATATATATATATATATATATATATATATATATATATAAAGAAATCCACAAAGTTCAGTCTAAATACTTCACCCGCACATATATAAATAGTACTGTCAATCAATTAAAAGAATTAACTAGTTAATTGCACTTTTTTTGAAAATTAATCACATTTACAGGACTGAAACTTTGGCTATTCAAATGTAAAATTAATGTAAACAAAAACTATTTAAATTCAAAATAGAATTGTTTGTTAGTATTTTTGATTAATTTGTAACACAGATTTATTTATGTAAACACCATACCCACAATAAACCATCAAGATCCTGGCTTTACAGCCATATTTATTACAGAAACAAAAACACAGGCATGTTAGTCCTCCTTTATACATTTAGCCAGTTGCTAAGACAGTCCAGTCTGTTGACATTATCGGGGGACAATGTGGACCTCTTTTTTGAATAATCTCACATAATCTCACGACAACTCGTAACTTTTTGATTTAGTGGCTATGGACAACGACGTTTTGGCAGGTTTGTTGCTAAGAACACACACACACACACACACACACACACACACACACACACACACACACACACACGTAGGACAGGGCAGCCGGATCGACTCCCTTCTGTTTCAACACGCATGATCGCGTTCATCAAATTTGCCTTAACTAAGCGTATGGCTGTATTTCACAAAGCTTTTGACACAACAACGCGAAGCAGACACTTGCGTTTATAGAGGAAAACACGTCAAACTTAATAAAACATTGGAGGGCGCATGCTGAAAGGCAGAGGAATGCGTGACTTCATCTGGCACTTCATTTACATGGACACCAATACTCTGGTTTTAATATGATAAAGATAACACTCTTATTAAGAGTCTACCATGTAATCAGCGATTTTTGATTACCTTAAAGGACCACTGAGTCATGAAATGTGGAGGTTTTTCTTTCCATTCGCCATGTGGTATCAAATTCCATTTAAACAGTCGAAAGGTAAAAATGAAACACGCAAAATTGCAAAAAAACTCTGGAGGAAATGCTGGAGAGCCTGGTGATGCTACATTAATTGTTTTATACTGAAACTTGCCTTTACAAAGTGCTTCCTAGGTCTTATCCATATATCTTTGCATGATAAACACACGTCGACCACAACAGAAAAAAAAACTGTAACTGCGTTAATTGCGTAATTTTTTTTAACGCGTTGAATATTTAAAATTAATCGCATTCGTTAACACACTAATTTAACTATATATATATATATATATATATATATATATATATATATATATAATTTTTAATTTTATTAATTAAATTTTATTTAATTATATATATATTTTAAATTTTTAAATTTAATTAATTTATCTTTTTTTTTGTTTGGGAACTAATGGGACAGTTACCCCTATCATGAAAACAACTGTATAATGAGGATAAAAAATTGTATAATCTGTCTTTCCAGTTCTTTTTTTGTTTGTTTGTAATTTGATTTAATTTAATTTTCCTTTTTACTTTGCATTGTTCGAAGGTTCACTTTACAATAAGGTTACATTAGTTTATGTTAGTTAATGCATTTGCTATCATGAATTAAGATTGGACAATACATGTTCAGCATTTATTAATCATAGATCAATATTTACTAATGCATTATTAAAATACAAATACTTTCTGTTAACATTAGTTGTTGCACTGTAATTCCAAAAAATAACAACAATACACAACTTTATTACCATTAGCTAACATAAAAAAACGAATAAACAAAGCAATAAATGTATATTTTATTGTTTCTTCATCATAATAAATATATTATCTGATGTTAAATAATACATTATTGTAAAGTGTTATCGTTACAATAAAGCTTAAAAAGCAGGTTATGTTTCTCTAGCAACATTAATCTTATTTTATCCCTCATTTCTCATTTCCATCTTCTACAGAAACCCAAATACCAAATCCAATGGAAAGTCATAGAGGGTATTCATGGAAACAACTATGTGTACATTGACCCCACTCAGCTTCCATACGACCACCAGTGGGAGTTTCCCAGAGATAAGCTGCGATTTGGTGAGTCTTTGAAAGTCTTCTTTAAAATGACTAAATCATATTCCAAACCACTTCTAGATATTGAAATATTTCTTTTGTTTGGAAAGGTTTATTGCTCCAGAAAAAATAAACACATTTCACACAGAACAAAGCTTGCTTCTTTTCACTGTTGGCTGTTGCCCAGTTTATGACACCGATAGCTGCCGCCTTCCCCGTGAAGGAATAGCTGTATCCGTCAACAAACAGGATCTAACAGGATCTAGCATATCCCACTTCCCCACAAGCCACACCTCTTTGATTCAAAAACAAGTTTATGTTCCAGTTGATAGCTGGTTTTGGATCAAGCCCCAATGACTGTAAACAAAAGTAAAACTGATGTGTGTGGGGACTGTATCAATATTCTCAATCAGATTTGCTTTCTTTCATTTCCAGGAAAAACTCTTGGATCTGGAGCATTTGGAAAGGTGGTGGAGGCAACGGCTTATGGGATGTCCAAAGCAGACACTGTGATGACGGTAGCTGTGAAGATGCTGAAACGTGAGTGAAAAGCAACGTAGAGTATGTTCAGAGTTTTGTGAAATACGAGTTGAATTGTTACAACAAGGCCTGTTTGACCAGCACGTTTATTTAAGCAAATGAGGCAGCGAGTAATGACACACCAGAAAGTACACAAACCTGCCTGATGAGAAGAGCAATGGTTAAACATTTGCAGTAACCCACAAATTTTGGTTCCCAGAACACTCTGGAATTGTTGGTTTATGCCTTTGAGCCATAATACCTTTAAATAAAACAAAGATTCACCGATCTGAATTACAATGTGTAAACTATTGTAAGAACCAAACATTTAGAATTATGATATCACAAAAACAGAAGAATTTTGAGGAACAAAGACAGATGAGAATTCAGAATTATCGGACTGGTTTTACCAGCAGGGCTTATTCTTAAAGTCGGCGTAAATCAGAAAGTAAGGTTGTCCTTTCGCTGTGAATTGACAAAAAAAACTGTATGATTTCGTCCATTGGGAACCAGTTGGATCATTGGAAGAAGGGCATTGCTAACAAAATGGAGGAAGATTGCTAAATGGGTGAAAACAGGGCAGAAACTTGATATACCCTGCCCCATGGGCATTCCATGGGACCAGAAGTGAAGAAAAATATTTTCAAGAGAGAGGGAAGGTTATGGTAGTCTCAGATTGGTTATTGTCAGACTCCTGTGTTGTGTCATGTGATCTTCCCCCATGTTTCTATGCTCCATGTGTGTTTATTTGTATCATGTGACCCCTTTGTTCTAGTTCCCGCCGTTTGTTAATGACCTATGAGTCTCACCTCTGTTCCTCCCCTGTGTGTCATCAGTTCCATTCTTTGTGTATTAATACTCCTTAGTTTAGTTTACTTCTGCGATCCTTTGCCATTCTGTGAGAGCCCAGGTGTGACAGGTATTTGATTAAATATTACAAGGACAAATATTTTTTTACAAAATTGTACATTGTTTATAATAACAACTACTATAAACGTAAAAATAAGGAGAGTAAATTTTGATTTCATGCCACCTTTAAGTCAAAATTAGGCCTTAAAATGACTTGACTAAGTGAAGTTTATTTATAAACTAATTTCGAGAGGATCACGTGCTCATGATTGCTTGCAGCCGGTCCTGCATTATTCAATTTATGATTCACGAATCAGATCATTCCTAAGCCACTATAAATACCCTACGTTCCATATAACAGCCATCTTCATTTTGAAGAATCCCCCTTCCACCCCTACTCCTCCTCCTTTCCTAGATGGGTGGCATGGGTGGCCCAGTGGTTAGCATTGTTGCCTCACAGCAAGAACATCACTGGTTCTAGTCCTTACCAAGCCAGCCAACGTTTCTGTGCAGAGTTTTCACTTTCTCCCTTTGCTCACGTGGGTTTATCTGGGTTCCCCGGGTTCCTTCCACCATCCAAAAACATGCAACTTAAGTCAATTGACTATTCCAAATCGGCACCATAGACATGCTCCTAGTAATTAGTTATCTCTTAAGGACAATCAATATCTGTTTCTTTAGCTACTACAGCAGGGGAGTTCTTGAGATCTACCTGAGCTCAAACTCCCCTCTCACGGCCCCGGGGTCCGCTCTATTTTAAGATTTGTTACATACAGTAGCTTGCAGTATCTTCTTCTGCCTAAATGGACAAATTATTTTTTGAGGTCACCTCATATTTTAGTTTCTAATCAAATCTATTGACCAATCAGGTTAAAATTATGTCAAATAATTCAAATGGTTGTCCTCTACTATCGGAAATGTGCTTTCTTTCAAGACCCAATTGCTTTATGGGCTTGAGTTCAACCACTCTCACTGGCAGAGCTGTGATAAAAACTAAATGCTATTGGCAGTTTTCTAGAAAGGGGAGGGGCTACTATATGCCCCACCTCTTTTTTATATTTCAGACATTGAGCAAAATATTCCATTTCCAAGCACTTCATGGGATTTTATGTCTGGTCTGTAAAACTAGGGGAATATAATTCTTGAGTTTGAGGGTTTTCAATTCTGAATTTATATATCTCAATTTAAATAATAATAATAATAATAATAATAATAATAATAATAATAATAATAATAATAATAATAAAAATCCGAACTGTGAAATAACTTTTCAAATATAAATAAATAAATAAATAAATAAAACGATCAGAAGATTGTACTGCACAATACCGGCATTTTTTGTAAAAAAAAATCCTTAATAAATATGCAATCGCAAGAAATGCAGTCAGACTTCTGAAAGAGATGTTGGCTATGAATACTGGCTTATTTTCTTGCAAAAATGTGTATAATAAAAATACATTTTTAGAAAACAAATTTGCAGGTTTGAAAAAAAAAAACTTTCAGAACTCTGACAGTTTCTTGCAGTTCTGAGATATTATTTAGCGAAAATTGCATAATGTATTTATTTAATCCTATAGCAGAAATGGAATTGCATTGATGTATTATAACAAAACTGTGTTTTATTTATTTATTTGTATTTATTTATTTTTTTGTATTATTCATGGTCTGTGTTTTTTTTTTTTTTTTTCCTATAGCGAGTGCCCATGCAACAGAGAAAGAGGCTCTGATGTCAGAGCTGAAGGTGCTTAGTTATCTTGGCAACCACATTAACATTGTCAACCTGCTTGGGGCATGCACTGTTGGAGGTGAGAGACCAACATTAAATATTATTTTTGCAGGTTTTTGCAGTGAATTGTGTGTTCTTCATTGCCAAACTGGTTTGTTGTGCAGGTCCAACTCTAGTTATAACAGAGTACTGCTGTTTCGGCGACCTGTTGAACTTCCTGCGCAGAAGGAGAGTATATTTCTACTACACAACACTAGGCGAAGATGCTTACTATAGAAATGTCATGATGCAGTCAGAACCAAAGTAAGTATCATAAGTATCATAACTGGTGAAGTTGAATAGCATGAAGATTCCTCCTGGATTCCCTAAAAAAATTATATTTGATCCCAGTGACAGCAGAAATGGATACATGACCATGAAGCCCTCTGTACTGGGAATCCTGTCCTCCGAAAACAGACGATCACTTAATAAAGGTTGGATTTATGTCTTGTGACTTCTTTACTTTAGGTCTTCTTGTCTTTTAACTTTTCATGTCATTTCATCTCTTGTTTCATCTCATTTCTTCTTAGTTCTCCAATTGTTGTCTTGTCTCTTTACTTTCTAAGAGTCTTCTCTTCAGCTCACCTTGTCTCATCTCTTTTTGTATTTTATTTTTGTCTTTAGTGTTCCTTGCACATTTCTCATCCCGTCTCAGCATGTTTTATGTCTTACTTGAATTTTTCACCCTTTAAGGGGATTCGTACAGTGATTCTGATGCCGTCAGTGAGATTCTGCAGGAAGACGGCTTGACTCTGGACACTGAGGATCTTCTCAGCTTCTCCTACCAAGTAGCCAAAGGGATGGATTTTCTAGCATCAAAAAACGTAAGTGTTTCTTTAGTGAATGTTTGGGAGGAGCCTAATCTTTCCTGTCAATCAATATTATACACAAGTGTGTATAAGCAGTGTACCAGCAACATCTCTTCTGGCATTCGGGTCCAGCCAATCCTGTGAAAAATGTCTAAAACAGATGAACTGCTGTTTTTAACTTTGACAATGAATTTTCGTAAAGCTGCTTTTATTATTGAGCTTTTTCCAAAACCTCCCAATCGCTGGTCTCCCAAGTAGAGAGAATATTTAGGATTGGGGCCACCCCTCTAGGCATCCTTCTGCAAATTCGCTAAGGTGCCGCCACTAACTTCGATCTTCTTCGCCTCCGTGTAGGCATCCATGTACCCCAGCTGTTTCAACTTCTCCATGCACTTCAGCTCATCTGGTTTCATCTGGAATATCTCCCATCACTTACATAAAAATGAGCTGTTAATAGGTTGTGGCATGTGCTTGCCATGTGTTGCTTGCAAATGTAACTTTTTTCTGCACATCCTTGGATTTAAATTGGAAATTGAATTTTCCATCCTTTTATTACTGGACTATTCACATTTTGGTTGCTTGGTAATTTACTTTTCGGGGGTTTAGCTTAGAGCTTAAATCAAATATTGGTTCGGAGCCACCAGAAAGCCAAGTTCTTTTCCATTGTGTTACAAGTTTTGTAAGTGTTAGGTCTTCTAAAATGACAAATTATTTGATTAATTACTTGCGCTCATGATATATTAAAACTTTCGTTCATCTTCAGAATACAATTCAAGAAGTTTTTGTTGAAATCCGAGAGCTTCCTCATCCTTCATAGACAGCGAGGTTTTTGACTTGTACAAAGAGTAGGAAAATGTTTGTAAAAAATCCTTAAAACACACCAAATGCCATCAGTAGTTCAGTCGTAATATAATAAATCTATAAGAATACTTTTGTGGACACATACAATAAAAATAACAACTTTATTCAAGCACTTCTTCTCCTCAGTGTCAGTATATTGTGCACATTCAAAACATCACCATCCATGACTTCATCTGTTTGAAAGAAAGCACAGGTGTATCTGAGGTAATATGCCAGCGGTGCGACATGTCAACACTCTTAATAATATTCATTCATTCATTTTGCTTATGCTTAGTCTCTATTTCAGAGGTCGCCACAGCGGAATGAACCACCAACTATTCCAGAATATGTTTTATGCAGCGTATTGAGAGTACATTCATGCACACACATTCACTATGGACAATTGGTTTATTCAATTCACTTATAGCACATGTCTTTGGACTGTGGGGGAAACCGTAGCACCCGTTGGAAACCCGTGCAAACATAGGGAGAACATGCAAACTCCACACAGAAATGCCAACTGGCTCTGCCAACTTAAACCAGCGACCTTCTTGCTGTGAGACGACAGTGCTAACCATTGAGTCACCATGCAGCCTACTCTTGATATTATTCCAGGTGAAATACTTAAGGTATATGGTTTGTTTTGAGAATGTTTTAGTACAATTCTGGACTTTGAACAAGTCTTAACCATCTGTGGAGAATGAGGCATCTCCTAGATTTCACCTAAAATATCCTTATTTGTGTTCCAAAGATAAACTAATAGCTCAAAGGTTTGGAATGATGTAGATGAGTAATTAATAACAGATTTAGAATTTTGTGTGAACTAACCCTTTAGCGGGCAACTTGTGAAATTAAGTTCTAAACAAGGAGGCTAGATAGGAGCCAGATCATTGAGTCCTATCACACAGTATATGTGCAGCTTCAATTCTTTTAGCATACCTCTACCTCCTATATTTCTCTTCCAATACGAAGGAAGGTCTAGCTCAAAACTTGAGCAGAACCTCGGGTTTGAGTGTCTTCCAAGGAACTCAAGCCAAGATTGCTTACCATTATCTACCGAGGCTCAATGGGCAGGTGAACTCGTTAATCATTTGTTTGTGCTCTGTCTCTCTAATGGATAGTGAGTTTTATATTCCGAGTGTTTGCAGTAATCCCATACCGCAGATCTTCTCGCTCTTCCTCTACAATGCCACAGGCTCACATTCCATTACCTCTGTCCAGTCAAGGATTGGGTTACGCCAGGTCACATACAAACCCACACATGTTGTCAGGCACATGCACACACTCATTCACTGAGGATCATGCCGAGAAATATCACATTTCCCCACTTGGTCAGCAGGTCCAGTATTCAGTTTAGTTGAAGAGCTCTAAATTAGTCACACCGAGTTTACTGTCAGCTCATTCATTTCAGCACCTCCGCGCTAACTTACATTTGGGAATGCGCAACGCTTCTCTGCTAATGAGGTTTTGAATTTTGGCACTGTTATTGTAAATACTTGGCACTTTGAATAGTCCTGACATTTGAAAGCAGATAGTTCATCCATAGATAACAGTTCAACCATCCTTTATTCTCCATACCATCTTCTATACTATCGAAATTAAAACTATTGAAATAACTCATGGTGACCAAGAGCTAAGAGCTAGATTTTCCAATAATCCTCAGTGGTGCTTTTTATAGCCCTTCCAGCCCACTGTTTTTATCTACAACAATCAATCAAAATAAAATAAAACACCCTGTACTACGATCAATTTAATTTTGTATGGGTGGTCCATCCTTGCTTCCTTTAACCCTTATGTACTGTTGGGGATGTTTTTATTCACTCTGGGATGATTTTATATCTAAATTTGGCCATAACTTATTCTGTATTTCAGCTAGCAGAATGAATTTTGGTGACATCTTATTTTGACACATATTTTGAGAAAATGCTTTTGAATTTTTTAAAAAAAAAACTCAGCGATACACTCTGGACAAATTTACTACCATTTTGTTATGTTCGGGATGAAAACATCCACTAAATTAAACTACTGTAAAAATGCATTTTTAGATATTTTTTTTATTTTTGCATGAATCTGTTTTAAACCTCATTCCTGATAGAAAAAAAAACAATAAAAAAACACTAAATTCTTTAGAAAATTACAGGATTTTTTATTTATAGGAACTTTTTATTTGCCAAATTCATAAATCATGTTACTAATTTGGTGGAAAAAAAACAAAATGACATATTTTCAATATAAAAAGTAATTGTTCACTGGATTTTTTTTTGTCAATAATTGCCTTTGACACATTGTTTTTGATAGATTTTCATTTTTTCCTCCCCTAATTTACTGTTGGTGGCTGTTTTTGCCTCATTGACTTTCATTATAACCACATTAGTTTGAAACCATGACACCAATGATGCATTTTTGATTGTTGGTGGTTTTTCCTGTTGGAAAGAGGTAAATTTAGTATTTTTTACTGCTGATGATCAGTTAGCTCTATTGACTTTTTAGATAGCCCTGTGCAAAAAAAGCTTACTTTCTGGATTATATATGAAGTATAACAGTAAATAAAAGTGTGTATGTGTGTCTGCGTGTGAGAGTGACCTTTACACACTTATTTTGATGTGTCTGAGAAAATCTAAATATGCATCTCAGCTTTCAGAACTACACGGAGTAAATAAAAACAAAGACTGTGTATTTATGCACCATCAAAAAAAGTCGATAAGGAAAACAGCCACCAACAGTAAATTAGAGAGAAATTTTAAAATCTAAAATTGCATCAAAGCCAATGTTGTTATTAGTTGTTCACATGTCCAAGACTGTGATAAAAGCTAAAAAAACAAATCCAGACGACAATTACTATTTATATTAAAAGTACACCCTTTTGTTTGTGTTTTTCAGCAAATCAGCAGAATCATTTGTGAATATGGCAATTAAAGAGTTAACATCCTATAATTTCCTAAACAAGTTAGTAGTTTTGATCAGGACTGAGGTTGATAAACAGATTTATGCAAAAAAATAAAAATAATTATATATATATATATATATATATATAAATCGAAAAAATATTTAACTCATGCATTTTTATGGCAGTTTAATTTAGTGGATGTTTTCATTCTTAACATACAGTAACAAAAGGGCAGTAAATCTGAACAGTGCACAAGGGTTAATGTCTGTGCTCTATTCCATAATATATTTGAGTGTATGTTGACTTGCATTTCTACATGAGTGTTTATTGTATGTGTGTGTGTTTTCAGTGTATTCACAGAGACCTGGCTGCCAGAAACATTCTCCTCACCCAAGGCAGAGTGGCCAAGATCTGTGACTTTGGACTAGCACGAGACATCACAACTGACTCAAACTATGTTGTCAAAGGCAATGTAAGTCATTACTTGTTCCTCAGAAACAACTTTAATCTACATTTTCCTGTGGATTTTCTCACTAGATTTTACATGTCATACGGTTAAGTAATTATGGGATTAAGTGAATGGCATGCAATCCAGATTGAAGACACTTCCTTGAAGTTAAAAGCATTTAATTGGCATTGGCATCAGGACTAAAGAGGGACTGTCAGCCCAACATAAGTTGCATCCCAAATGACAAACTGTACACTATGCAGGGTTGTGTGTGGGTTTTATCGGGTTAATATGTCATTCATCATTGGAGTATGAAAGCCCTGCCCTGACACCATGCAATTAAAATGTGACAGTTGAGTGCATTCCACACTTTGCTGCTTTTTGTTGTTGTTGTTATTGTTGTTGTTTAAATAAGTGTCTCATACAGAGCACATAATAATTTGAGATTTCTCAGTGAAACTGCACTACTTGCACTAAATGAAATGGAATAGAGCAAATGTGCATATTAGGGTAAAACTACAGCATATAGATTTGCATCAAGCAAGTGTTGCCATGTTGCCTTTAATGCCAAATACCTATTATTTCATTAATTAAATAAAATATATAATACAATAAAATGATTTCAATACTGACAACCTATTTAACATGAATAATAAGACAAAATTCATAATAGTGGATTATTGCTTTTTAATTTGTAATATTCATTCATTCATTTTCTTTTTGGCTTAGTTCCTTTATTAATCAGGGGTTACCATAGTGGATAGACCGCCAACTTATTCAGCACATGTTTTGCGCAGCGAATGCCCTTCCAGCTGCATCACTGGGAAATACCCATACACTCCCATTCACACACATACACTACAGACAATTCGGCTTACCCAATTCACCTATACCACATGTCTTTGGACTGTGGAGAAAACCGAAGCACCCGGAGGAAACTCACACCCGCACAGGGTGAACATGCAACCTCCACACAGAAATGCCAACTGACCCAGCCGAGGCTTGAACCTGTGACCTTCTTGCTGTGAGGCGACATTGCTACCCACTGTGTCACCATGCCCCTTATTTGTAATAATGATTTTTAAATTTGGTGAATTTAATTTAATTTAGTTTCTAAACGTTCGAATCAAACAAAATCGGCATTTTTTCAGGTTGCTCAAGCTAAAGCGCATTCGCACTCAAATGAAACGAGATCATGACACCAACCTCATTTATGGTGGTTCTACACATTATTATGCTCTAAATAATGCTTCGTCAGATCGTGCTGCTCTTCTGAAGTAATTCACAACTTGGTCTTGATGGTGAATCTCTTCCAGAAATGACAGCGACTCTATGATTACAAGTTTGTGGGCTTTTGAGTAGTCGCTGCTGTCATGAGACAGGACAGACTGTACCTCGCGTTCATTTCATACAGATTATTAAACCAAAAATCCTTCGTTTTCAAGTATAGTTGTTTAAAAGTACAAATTTCACGCTTTATTTAGATAAATTTCTTATGTCTGTGAAGCAAGTATTTGCTGAGATTCAAGTGTGTTTGTTGTGAAAGCACACGTCTGGACTGAGCTTTTCCCCCGTCCGTCAGTTTAAAATGATCAATGATTCATTTGCCATATTGACCGTTACACTCTTCCCCATTCAAAACTATACGAGTGACACATCTTGTGCATTCTATAGTCTTTGGTTTTATAAAGCAGATGTGTTTCCAGCCCCAACCCAGCACTGAGAGTACAACCCTCAGTGCTGGGAAACACCCACACACTCTCCCAATTACACACTAAAGTCAATTTAGTTTATCCAATATCCATAAACTAGAGCACCCGGAGGAAACCCACGCAAACATGCAAAAGAAAGGCAACCTTCTTGCTTTGAGGCAACTGTGCCAACCACTTAGCCACCTTAATGCCCCTCAATAGAATACATTTATTATAATTTATAACTATATTATAATCTTTATAATACAATAGATCCATTATAAATAGCACATCATAATCTGGAAACATAGACAAAACATATACTAAATACAAAATCTCTTTTTTTATCATCTCTAAAGCTGCTAAATAAATATCTTAAATCGTATCAGCATTCTGTTGTTGAATTTGAAGAAGGGTGCAGAATTCAGCCAATAAACTAATTTCAATCATGACAACTGTAATACATTAGCTTAGTTTATCTGGGCTCATTAGCTTGGATTTTTTTGGCCAATATTTGTTCATCCTTTCATATTTTTTTGTATTATTGTGGATGAGCTTTTTGTTTAAAGACAAATTTCTAACCCATTTTGGGACAGACAATAAAGCTTTTTGAATTTAATCAAATTAAACTTTTTTTGCCACAAGCCCCTGTAATTTATCCTGATACTCTATGTGTGTATATGTGTGTGAGAGAGATGGGTTTTATTCCAAGAGCACTTAGAAAGGAAATCCCCCTTAAAGCACTATGACCATATTCAGTATAAAATACAAGATCTTTTATCCATGTTGAGACATGCACTTTACCAGAATGTTAAATACTGTCAAGAGAGCCATGCAAAACAAGCTGAGAATAGGGTGATTTCTGCCATATCAAGACAGTTGATTTATTTTCCAGGATTTGCATTAACGAGAACACTAATGTTGCTATTGCTGGCTTCAACTACAGATACTCAATTTGCATCCAGGTTTTCATGGTGTAAACGAAGCCCAAAGCAACAAACAGTCATGACAAACATGGTTTACAGTTCAAGCCTTCATAGATATTTTTATTCTCTACATTTACAGTACTTAGAGCTTTAGTTTGAACACTTGAAATAATTAAGCCCTAGGTAAATTGAATACTATAATCATTTACCCCTTTTTTAACTGATTGCTGTCCTTCTAACAGATTACCGTGTTGATTTGTTTGTTTTGGGTGTGTCTCAATACACTCCCTATAGGTCATTAGTCAGTGCGCTTACCTGACAGCTATTTCTAGGGCTTCATTTCCATGAAATATCCAACCTATACCTGTACATAAAAGTCAGTAAAAACAGTGATTTATTTATTTATTTCAGTTTATTGTATACATTTAAAGGACCCTAAAATGAAAATTGTGTCATCACTCAATCTCCACTTGTTTCAAACCTCTTTGACTTCCTTTCTTCTATTGAAAACAAAAGAAAATCTTTAAAAGAATGCTGGAAACCAGTAACTATTGACTTACATAGTATTTCAGTATTCCTCCACCTATAGAAATTGATGTCAACTGGTTTCCGACTCAAAAGATCTTCTCTTGTGTTCAACAGAAAAGGTTTGGAACCACCGGCAGCACCTTTTAAGCACTGTGTGAAAGACCTCAAGTCATGTAACATCAATCTACAACTTGTTAATAACATCAAAACCACACGGTTGGAGTTTCCAAATGTGTGTTTTGATTGTAAACCGTTTCTATGGGAGTCACAGGAGAAATGTGTGATGCACTGCGTGTTTTTAAGCTGTCTGTGCTGTTAAGGAAGGAATGTGTGTAATGAGGGTTTTCTCTGCACAGGCTCGTCTCCCAGTAAAATGGATGTCCCCGGAGAGCATCTTTGAGTGTGTTTACACCTTTGAGAGTGACGTCTGGTCTTATGGCATCCTGCTGTGGGAGATCTTCTCTCTTGGTACGTTCAGCTCATCTCATAATAACAATATTATTATATGATAAACTGCTTGTTCATTCAACCATTGTGCTTTAAAAGGGAGTAGTCCATATCCAGGGATGCCTGTGGACTCTAAATTCTATAAGATGATCAAGGAAGGATATCGAATGGAGTCTCCGGAGTTTTCCCCAAGTGAAATGTAAGTTTGAGATGTGAGAAGTTCTGTAGGAAGATAATGACAAGATAATGAAACCATTTACATGCTACAAAAATGTTCCCAGACATACTGAAAAAAACATTGCTGTGTTGTTGTGTTTCAGGTACGATATCATGCACTCGTGCTGGGATGCCGACCCTGTCAAGAGACCCTCATTTAGCAAGATAGTGGAGAAGATCGAACAACAGATTTCAGACAGCACTAAACACGTAGGCTGCTTTCTTTATCTTCTCTTTTAGCTCTCAAAACTTTGTAAAAGTGCAAGGATTAATAACAAACTTGTTTTGTTTTCCAAAATAGTTTTTTAATACACAAACTATAAACTTTTACTATAAACTTGTTTAAAAGCAAATTTGCTTGTTATAGTTAACTTAAAACCATTTTTAAAACCATAAAGTGTCATCTCAAAAAATAATAATAATAAACCTGCTTTCTGCCAAGGAAATATTTCCCATTTTCATTCAGGTTAGTTAAAAAAAATAACAATGTAACCAAAATAAAAACTAAAATGTAAACAAATCAAAAATACACACATACTTGAGAATTTTTTCAGTACAAATGACAATAAAACGCAACAAAATAACGAAAACTTTAAAAATTAACATAACACTTTTTTTATGAATTTGTTTAAATACATTAAAAAATGCTGAATGGTTTGAAACATGATAACCATATCAAGCTTGTTATAGTTAAAAAGTCCTCTAGAGATTGTGCAGCACCATTGATGTGATCTAAGATCTGAAGAGTTGATGCCGACTACAGAGCACTTCTAAACGTCTCCATAATCCTGGACCAGGCTGTATCCTGAGCAGATTCTGTGTTGGTCATGGATTAGTTGAGAGCATGAGACCCCAAAAGAAAGGACCTGAAAGGACCCCAGTGACCCCGTGGGCCTGTCTGAACAACCGTCAGTGACCAACTCATACCTACAGCTTCTCCACGATGGACATCCAGCGTCTCCAGCCTTCAGCACTTAGACTGCAGCTCTGCACAAGAAGTTTGGTCAGTGGAGAAATGATCTCCCCCAACTGAGCCTGGTTTCTCTTGTTTTTTTTTTCCTTCACTTTCGTCAATTGGTGTAATTTGTTCCTCGCCACTGGGTTGCTTGGTTTGGGACTGCACATATATGGATTTGCTCTTCAGTGTTTGGACTTTCAGCATTGAAACTTAAACTACTCTGAAATAAACTAAAATTAAACTCCAATCATCGATCACTATATGGCGAATAAAGCCCGCCTTCTAAAACAGAAGCCAATTATTGATCTCTATATGGTGAAGAAACCCCACCTTCTAATACAGGAGCCAATCATTGATCGCTATAGGCTGACGATCCTCTGGGAGAGGTACTTGGACCAAACATGAGTTTCTGCAGATTTTGGGTGATTCAAACATTTAGAAATGAAACTAAAGAGTTAGATGTTGTTTAATTTTATTGGTGGTTCCTTACGCTTTGCAAGTAGTTTTGGAGAATTTGATGTTTCCCCATTTAAACAGAATGCCAGAGCATACTGCCCAAGAGACATTTCAAAGATGGCCGCAGAGTAAAATGACTTGTCTTAAAGGTCTTTGACTTTGACTAAACTTAAAACCATAAAATAATAATAATTATTATTATTTATTATATAAATGTAATGTTATAAAAAAATAATAAAGCATCGGATTTTTTCTCAAGAAAATGTTCTAATTTTTATTCAGTTTAGCTCAAAAATCTGAAACCAAAATAAAGACTAAAATATACGTTAATAAAAAATACACTGGTTTTAAAAAAGATAACAACTTAATTAGTCAAAATGTAACAATTGTAAAATAAAAACAGAAAAAGTTTAAAGTAAAAACAGTTTAAAGAAAAACAGAAGTCATTTCTGTATTTTTTCTGAAAATAAAGGTTTCTAAAAGTCATTTTTGGAGAATTAAGTAGTAAATAAAACAATATCTTCTCTTTTCTCATCAGATTTACTTAAACTTCAGCTCCAGGTTGCCAGCAGCACCAGGCCCCCGTGAGGAATCCAGTTCTCATGTCCATCGGCTAAACTCAGTGGGCAGTCACAGCACAGCCACTCAACCTCTGCTCTCCAGCAACGACGTCTTTTTGGATAGATCGAGTCCAAGTCACCCTGTAGTCTGAAAATCCACTCTCAGCAAAAAGCGTCATCTTCTAAGACTCTCTGCGTCATTGTAGCTGTCTGACATACGTGAGGACTTTGGTGAAAAACACTGATCGTAAATCTCAAGAGCTGTCCGGCTCTTTCCACCTTTCTTGCAGACTGTGTATATAAGAAAGGACAGTGATGGTGTGCTTTCCTATTACCATTTCATGCATTCTTTGGAACTGTGGGACACTGAGTTTTCAAGAAAGCTAATAATCAATGCTGGCATCATTCCATGGTACTATATCTCCAACGCGGATCTGCAGGAGAACTGAACTCGTTTTCTATAAAATCCCTTCATTACTTGGGATGTATAAACCTAATAATGCTTCTTTTTGCTAGTCGTCGAGTCTTTACACATGACAAAGTCAAAAGTCGGAGACAAGATCAAATCACGATGAGAACTTTGGAAATTCGACGTCATTTTGACATGATCTTTTAGCTGAAAATGCATTATATCGCACCTTTAACACTCGTGTGTTGAATATGACTCACTGAGTGTCAGTAGTAAAAGTGTAAATCGCTGTTATTTTCATATCGAATTTATCATTTCTGCTCAAAAATGAAAATATCCAACACATATAAGGCTACGTTATCTGGAAATGTATGTATAAGCAGCAATAAGTCCGCATTGTAACTTTGACAGCATGATCATGCGCAAGCCAAAAAACAAGCTACTTGATGCATGTTGCGTTGGGGCTAGTATTTTGTCTGTTGGCAGCTGAATCTGTAAGTTTATGTTTCGATAGACTAAATTAAGGCACAATTCATTTCACTGTCAGGAAAGGTGTTGAGACAGGTAGAGGCAATTCATCACAGCTCATCATTTACTCAGTGATATTTTGGTTACATAGCAGTATTATGTTATTGGCTTGTGTTGTCTTCTTTTTTTTTTCCTTTCAACATGGAAACGTAATTTGGGACAGCAAAATGATCCAGTCAAGTGGTAATTCAACCTTAAGGCATCAAACTTTTAGACAGTGTTTCTTTTAGGGATCACTTTAAACCGTTTCTGTCACTTCTACAAGGAAAATATCTGGTAAAAAAAAATACTGGTTTCATTTGTACGGCTCGGTTTAAAGTAGTTTTAAATAGGACGTGGTTCCTTAATGGTGGAAGATCAGGTTGCTTCTGTAGCATCAGTTCTGTTCTTTATTCCACAACAATCAGAGTGAAAACATATTTTTTTGAAACTGGAAGGCATAGCAAGTAGTGCTCTTTTGTACATTTGTAAATGTTTCGCTAGCTCTTTTTATTTTTTGCATGAAAAAGTAAGGTGGGGGATGATTGGTTTTAAGTAAAGACACCTCTTAAGTTACAGTACGTTTATGCAACAATGACCACGTTTACATGGACATCAATAATTTAAATATTTGCTTTAATCTGCAGAAGACAATAATATGATTAAAGTGTAACCCGAGTTGCTTTTTCAACGTTCGTTTCATGATCCCGTTTTACATGTTATAGCACATAATTCGATTAACGTTATTGCGTCACCACGCTGTTCAGGTTTCCTCCATAGTTTCATGCAATTTGGAGTATTTCATTTTTAAGTTGTCGACTTTAACTGCAGTTTGGCACTTACACTTTAGGAACATGTCATGCATACCCCCATGACAAACGAGATATTGGATGCGAGTATGAACTGCTGGAAGAGTGTTGTTTTAACTGAATTTGTTACCGCATTTCGCAATGCAGGTGTCTGTGGTCCTTCAATGACTTGGTAGGCGCAGAGAATAGTGTCAAACAGCCGTGTGTGTTTAGACCATTCTGTCACAAAATGCGGTGAAAATCCTACATGACGATAATAGTTTAAGTTGTTTACATGTATGTATGCATTTAAATAATGCGACTAAAATCGGCATACTCTTCGTACTACTCTGTACTGCACCTCAATAATATGACTAAAATCGGCATACTCCACGTCGTATTTCGATTTATGTTTAATTCGATGATGACCTTAATCGGATTAAATGAATTAAAAATCGATGTTTACATGGTAGACTCTTAATCAGAGTATTGTCTTAATCATATTAAAATCAGGTTGTTGGTGTCCATGTAAACATACTCATGTTTTTCACCTGTGTATTTGAAAACTTTCACTAATGACAATGTTGTCAACATGGTTCCTGAGGAAACAATTGCTAAACAACACTGTATTATGCTTGCCAGTTGGCAACGAAACAAAACACTACAGCTCTGTTCACATACAGCTCTGTAGTGTTTCTTGGTGTTGTTTTTTTTAGATTGTCAGTCACTCACAAATAGATAAATGATATCTGGACTGATTAGTGGGCGACATCATCATTTTTGCAAAATCACGTTTTTTGTTTTGTTGTTATTAAAAGTTGGCATTTCCAGACTGCTGATTTTTGCTAAATTTTGTGTAAACATTACGTAATTACATTATGTAACTACTTTACCTAATTACATAATGTAATTACATTACGGTAACCGGCGATATTGTAATCGTGATTAAGGGTGCTTTCACATCTGTGATTCGATTTATTTGGTTGGGCAGCAAATAATACGTTGTAGTTTTTTTTTTTCTGCAGTTTTTTTTTACACCACGCTGATTGCTCTTTTCCGAAAGTTTAAACAATCCAGAATGCAGCCATGTGACCACATTCACATCACTCGCCATATGTCATTGAACGTATTTCCTAAACTCCATATTCCTATGGGAACTTCGAGAGTAAACAGAGTAGGAAAATTTGGCTGAAATGACTTGCCCAATCATACTCCGCACAACTACGGCAGGTGGTTTAGTCCAAAAATGAACGGTATGTTTTTCAGTTGGGTCTGTTTGAGTTCAGATCATATTCTCAGCTCATAGAACAGTTCCAGTGTTCATTTGAAAGCATAACTGGACCACCTCTTTAAACCAGTCTGTATACTTTTTGGTCAGATTTTGGTGTGCACTTGACTGTGGTTACTGCGATACAACCCAGTTAAATGAGGCTAGTGTAAAAGCACCCTTAAACAATAACTATCATTTTATTTTTTGTTGTTTGTTTGTTTGCTTGGTCACACTTTATTTTGATGGCATATTTGTTGAATTTGACTTACATTACATCTGCATGCCAACTAATTTTCATTAGATTATATGTAAACTGTTAGTTTGGGGAGTGGGTTGGGGTTAGGGTTAGTGTAAGTTGACATGTACTTGCAAAGTTTCTTATAGTCAGTTAAATGTCTGTTAAAGAAGCAGTATCAGCAAATAGTAAGCAGACAGACTACTAATACTCAAATAGACCATCAAAAAAAAGTGTTTTATAATTGGCTGAATATATATTCAAAAGTTAAAATTTTGGACCAGCAGTGGGGCCAAGTTGGAGTACTTACTCTGGTCCCTCGGGCTCTGCGCTGGTTGTGGAAATTCTAAATTGAATCAAAACAATCCATAACAATTGGCTTGAGATTGGCAAGCAAATTTCGGGACATTGCAACCTGCAGAACCTGGTTAGTTAAAAAAAAAAAAAAAAAAGTTAGAAAAAGTAAAAAGTAGTTCAGGCAATGTATGGCCAAAATACCTAAATCATGCTCCATTTTCATTTCATTGTTGTGTAAACGTACTCTGAGGTTGTGCGGTCTCTCTGCGTTCTTGTGTTTGCGGAAATGGCGGGTTATTGTTTCCTACAGACTTGACTCAGTTACTCTTCTACACCAACTGTTGTGCCTGAAACGTTATCTCTGCTCTTTAGCCAATGAGAATCATGCTGCCGATGGTTGAGCCAATAGAAAGCTGCCGCTGGGGTGTAGAAACGGGTGCCAATGGCTTCTTGCTCTATGTAGGAATAGCCGACGAAGGATCTGCCAATAGAAAGGTGGCTTTCAGATGGAGGACACACACACACAAAAAGAGCGGCTTTCTGTTACTTAGATGAGCCAATCGGATTCTCATTCCATTGCCAAAGGGAAAAGGGCAGAGTATGCTTTTGAATATGAGCAATGACTGAGTCGAGCTGAGCAAACATCAGTAGTCCAGGCACTCAGTCAGGAGCTCGTTTCCCAGGTCTCCCTCTGTTCTTTGTGTCCAGCTGCTTCCTCCGCCGGATGTCTCACTTCCACAAAGTCAGCCGGGGAGATCTTATTCAGACTGTCTCCCATCTCCACGCCACACTGGGACATTGTTCCTGTTAGGCACTGGCTCTTGCTTCCATTTGCGCTAATGTGTTTTGCGTGTCTGCATGAGTGTGTGAATGTGTAAATGCAGGTCATTTGCTGTTAAAATAGCTGAGCACTGATGGATCCTCCAGTAGAAGGACTGTAGTTAATGAATTTCAGATTTGTCTGAAGTCAAATGCTGAAGCCGCTGCATACATACCATCACTATTTGCTCTTTTCTTTATGTAAATAATATATATATATATATGTGTATGTATATGTAAATCATATTGTTGCTTCTTATTTTATTACCATGGTACGTTCTCTCATGTGCTGCAAAGACTTTGTTTTGTATGTTACGGTTTGTCAATTCCATTTAAGTTTACTTGATCATCTTCTGTTATCGTCTTGCCTCTTGATTCATTTCTTCATAAGTGCAGTTTTCAGACACACGGCAGGTACAGCTGGTTATACATTTAATCCATTTACATTATATTCGCCGTTGCTTTTCTGTTTCAGTATTTTCGGTGGTGTCTGAATGAACGATGCCAGGAGGAGTATACGTGAAAACTAAACGCAGACGGTCCAGGACTCCCATTTGTGACCGCTACAGTTCTCATACGCATTTTTCTATAATTGAAAGGTGTTTTGCCCCTGAGAAGATTGTTTGTTTAATGTATTTTATTGTATATTTATTTTACAGTTTTTATTTTTAAGACAAATGTGCAAATCCTGTGTGTAGCTCTTGTTACTTCAGTATGTAAATAAATAACTGAAACCATGAGCCTTGTAATCATTGAGGTCTTTAGCTTGAAGCTTTTATTGGCCATCTGGAGGAAGATTATAGGTGTTCTTAAAAGAAAAGCAGACCACTGCTCTGCGTTATTTTGAAAACAACATGTCATGTGAGGAAAAGAGTGGACCAATTGTGATTTCGAACTGGGTCAAAGGGAAGAAAAATAGGTTTGTTGGTGGAATCAAAATTAGAGAACAATGCTGGAAAACTTGATTTTGTTTTTTATCAGAAATGTATCCATCCGTCTAAAAGGATTCACATTGTTGCTACAACTTACTAGTAAAAAAGTGCATTACAAAAATCGATGAGGAACTTTAATTGAAACTATGATATTAGCTCTACTGTTATCCGAATACACTCTTCTTAAGTCATTTCACAGTTGACTGACTGTAGTGAGTTCAACACTTACCAACAAGGATTTTCCAGAGATATTCAATGAGGTTTAACTCGGGACTCCGGGCTGCCATTTAATTATGTTTTCAGCTTGAAGGAACTGATTTGCTGTGTGACAGGGCTCACTGTCCTGCATGAAAATTGGTGGCTAATTGAGTGATTAGCACAGGTAAGCAAATACATTTGTTCTGTCATGTAACTAGGGCTTAATTTGTGCCGGAACACGCAGTATCCGAATCTGGCACCTCTGAAATCTGATCCGGACCCTCATTTTACCAATCCCCCTCCTCATCTAACCCTCTTCACTTTTGTCTGCAACACCCCCGCCCCGCTCACTTTCGTCCGCGACACCTCTCCATCCTCGGGTAACATGCCGGATCAGCTACACTGCATATAACTGTAGCTGAAACAAATACTCTAAATTAAGCTTGCTATTTTATTTATTTATTTATTTATTTATTTTTTTACTTTTTTTTTTTTTTTTTTTTTTTTTTTTTTTTTTTTTTTTTGCTGTTGAGAGGTTTGGTCACTGCATGGTTTTCAGTCTAAATTCTCTTAAACATTGAGACACTGGATGACACATCCGTACCCTGTTCAGAGCTGAACTGATGCTGCAGCATTGAACTGGTTGAGATTTTCTACATAAGCCTGCCCTCATCTGCTTTTGTATTTTGCAGTCTTTTGAGGGGACTTGATGAGTTGGTGACAGTGTAAAGATGCAATATTACAATTCATAGATTTGAAACGACCAGCTTCTCTTGCTATGACTGAAATGCTCTTTTTAGCCTTTATCTAGACAAGCAGCACTAAATAATGTAATCAATACACAGGAGAAAAGAAAAAAAATCAGTTATGAGCGTTTATCAGTGTCAGGCTTATCTAGACAACCTGCTGTCTGAGGGTTTTGGCCTACAAAAACAATCAAAAAAATACAATAAAAATACTTAACAACTTTAGAAATAGCAGGATAATACACTTAAATCCAAGTGAAATATTGCAAAATAATTACAACATTTCAACAAATTGCATATATGTTTGTTTCTCTTGATTTTTTTCCCCCTTTTTAAATGTTTTATTTAATATTTTTTCCTAACATAAATTTGGGTGTACTAAATTGTCTCCAGATTTGGCTTCAGTACTGAGTAATGTATATGTACAAATATTATACTGTATATGACTTGTGATGGTGTACTCAAGTATGCTGAGCAGTATACATTTCAAGTGGATCAATACCTTTCATCAAAGTTTTGATAAAACAACACGATTTTGAAAAATGTTTCTGATTCACTTCAAATGTTGACTACAGTATATATTTTACACATTTGTTTCAAGGGTTCAAGCTGGTGAATGATAATAAAGGGTGTTTGGCATGCTTTACTGGGAGAGAGCCCTGAGCTCAGAAGATCCTCAAGCCTGGGGCTCCCTCCCAGTTCATTGGGAGAGAGGGGAGTCTGAGTTCAGGTAGGTCTCGAGAATTCCCTGAATTCATTCATTTGGCATATTCCTTGATTATTAGGGTTTGCCACGGTAGAATGAACTGCCAACTATACCAGCATATGTTTATGCGGTGAATGCCATGTACTTAATGCTCATTTACTGTGCCAATTTGGTTTATTCAGTTCACTTATACTGCATGTCTTTGGACTGGGATAGGAAATCGGAGTACCTGGGAGAAACCCACACAAGCATGGGGAGAACATGTAAACTCCACACAGAAATGCCAACTGGCCCAGCCGAGACTTAAACCAGCAACTTTCTTGCTGTAAGGCAACAATGCCGCCATGCCACCCTGTCCTGGAATAATCTAGAAAAGATGAGGAGTAGGGATGGAGGGGAGGATTCCTCAAGATAAAGATGACTAAGGTAAGGAAATCAGGTTATGTACATTTGGATTTGTTTGATAGGTGAGCATTGCATGAGCTAATGCGGGACCAGCCATGGTCAATCATAAGCAAGTGATCCTCTTAAGATTAGTTTATAAGAAACTTGACTTACAGTAAATAGACAGTCTTTATATTTTTGGGAGAGGTAGATAATGATGGTTGACAAAGTACTTTTTTAATACATGCATAGTATTTATGAAGTGTCGTGCAACATTCTTGAAATAAATCCAATCGGACCATGCTCGTCTAATGCTTGCACTAAATGATTTTGGACCATATTGTCAGCCATCTGTTGGAGCATGCAGTAGAGTTTCTGCAGACTACAGCAAATGCAACTGTCTGTGAAGAAATGGTGTCCCATTTATGATTAAGCCCAATGGGCTGAAAATGATGTAAAAGCTTGTTGTCAGAGACGGTCTGTGATTTTGGATTCGCTGCTGCTTTGGACATCTGTTTTTTAATAGGCGACAGACATGAACCCACATTACAATGAGCCTTCATTTTGTTTGCAGAGTACCTCAGTAAATTGTTTTGGAGTCCTTAACAGTAAGATGAAGTGCATTGTGTACATTTAAGAAGACCTTAGCTGGTAGGCTCTGAGGTGTCCCAAAGACATCACAGCACTTTCTGAGCATGTGAATCTCCCAGCACAGTCAGAGTTTATTGTTTGCCTATCTGATAAGAAGCAAAAAGGATTTCCCACTATTGAAGATGACCAAAATACATACAGTGAGTCAGCAGCACCTGAGGACTTCATGAGAAAGTGAAAGAGAGTGAGGGGGAGTAAAAGAATAAAGTTTTAAAACATTAGGGTTTTGATGCCATACAAGAAACACCTGCAGAGACGTCCAGATGTTGAAGAAGTGAAAATAGTTACTCTTAGATGAAGTGTGTAATTTCCACTGCCGTTCTGAAAGGGGAATTGCAAAACTAATGACATGCTGCCAGGCTTATTTACAACCCCCATGAATGCCATCTTACCGTCCTTTTATCTGCATAACACACTCTAATTTTTTGAGAATGTGAAGAATTGTATAACTTTTTAACTCTAGCAAGAAAAACATACTAAAAAAATACATAAATATATTTTTTATTGTTGTTTTTGTTGCCTTAAAAAATGCTTTAATTTTGCACTTCAGTCAGAGTGGTTTGTCTAATAAACATCACCTCCCTGTGGTTTCTGTGGTGTCGATGACAGTTTGACCCGTTCATGTGCTCAGACCACGGAGGGTTGAATGGTTTGAGAGCTTTATGAAAGAAGTGAGGAAAACTTTAACTGTTTTAAACAGATAGTTCTCTCAAAAACGCTTACTCAAACAACACTTTTTCCAATTTAGTTTGATTTTGTTGTTGTTGTTGTTGTTGTTGTTGTTGTTGTTGTTGTTGTTGAACTCAAAAAGGGATATTTTGAGGAATGGTTAATACTGGTAGTCATTGATTACCATAGAGCAGTTTTTTTATACCATGGATGTCAATGGCTGCTGGTTTCCGGTATTCTTTAAAATATCTTCTTTCATGTTCAGCAGGAAAAAAAAAATCAAAAATATTTAAGCATCTACTGTACTTTACAATTCTCTGAATCTTTGCATTTACTGCATTTATTAGGTATTAGTTGGAGTAAATTGTTATTGTTCTTTGGTTTTTCCATTTTGAGTACAAATATTCATTCATTCATTTTCTTTCAGTTTAGTCCCTTTATTTATCAGGGGTCACGACAGTGGAATCCAGCATATGTTTTCCATAGCGAATGCCCTTCCAGCTGCAACCCAGTACAGGGAAACATTCGAACATTCACACACATACACTGCAGCAAATTGAGCTTAATCATTTGACAAAGAGAATGGTGTTTAGGATTTTAAAGAAAAACATTTTCTTAATTATTATGTTTTAGTTAGTGAGGTACACTGTCATTCTACAAGACCGTGTATAGCAGGGATATTTATCCTTTTAGATTCAAGAGTGAATCAGGTAGAAATTCTTTTTTTGTGTGTGTGTGTACTAGCTCTGTTGATTGGAATGTTTTGCCCATGATTTTTAAGTGAAGTTTCACAAACTACTTTCGAGAGGAACATGTGATATGATTGACCGCAGCTCTCATCTGCAATCATTAGATAGCCAATCAGATTAATCCAAACTCACTATAAGTAGCCTAGCAAAAAATTACTCCCTTATCCATTTTACGAAGAAACCCCCCATCCACCCCTTTTCCCCCCTTTCTTCCTTTACCACGAGGAGCTCTCGAGAACCACCTGATCTCGTACTCTCCTTACATGCTCTATCGACCAGGTGGGAGCCCTGGGCTCAATTATCTCCGATCTCAGGGTCCTCTCCCAGGACAGCATGCCAAACCTGGTAAAAGCGTCAAGCAATATCTAAGTGTGAACTCTTGAAAGAGATTCAAATTGAGAGTGTTTTTAGAAGGGAAATCAAAAAGTGATTGTTTTACAGTTGAAGTTGAGGATTTGGTTGTGCCGAGTTGCTGAGCTGATGAAGTTTGCACTCCATTTATGATTTGCTCATTCATTTTTTTTTAAATATCGAGGACCAAAATGGAAATAAGCCTGTGGCTTTTTTGTGTATTTTATCCTTGACAGTTTTTAAAATATGTATGAATTTGTCTAACTGGACTTGTTTGTATATTTTTGTTAAAATTGTAAAATAAAATCAACTGACCTATAGCGCATGTCTTTGGACCGTGGGGGAAACCGGAAG